TACAGTATTCTTAAAATAAATATAACCTCAACACACACAAAAATAAATAACAGTAATAAATATTCAATAATATACATACGTTCATATATAGGTAGGTATCCTTAAAATTCAAATCCTTAACAGCACTAGCATCTACATTAAGAACCATCCAAAAATTGTATTTAAATGGAATATTACAAAAGGATTAACAAGCACGTAATAAGGAAAAGAAATTAATCAAATTTTAAAAATTAATGAACCCTATCTATGGTTATAGCATAAACTTATAAAAGGATCGCCGCTCGAGTAATTTCCATATACTTAGAATATTTTTTAATTCCTGTTTACTTATTTAACTATCTTTTAGTTTATGCAGACTATAAGTAATTACATATATAATTTATTATATTGATAAATATTATACATTTTTATCCATGTTTTATTCGTATTCAGATTAATAAAAAGTAGGTAGATAATTCATCCTTGTCTTATTTCTTCTTCTACGCTACTAAGATCAGTTTTGTTACAATTATACCATTTTTTAAGGATTCTTACAATATTTTTGTCAAAGCTCTCTTTTCTTACGATTTAATTTAACTGGGTGTCATTTAAACTAGTTTAAGCTTAATTCCAAGACATCAAGAGGCTACTTACTACTTAATCTCCCATTAGTTTTCATTCATGCAATATAAAATTTTAGACATATTGCGTATAAAGAACATCTTTTATCTAAGTTTTTGTCATAACATCTTTTATCTAAAATTTGTTTTATAATAAGTATAATAAAATGTTTTCAAAATCTTAATAATAACATATTTCCATGATACTATTCTTAAAACTTCTAGGAGTTCTTTATCATTGAACGTGAACTCTTCAGACATAGTTTTGTCCTCCATTCATTACTCTTCAAATAGCAGTTCATACTTTAGATCTCATTTTTCGTATTTCAACAATGTTAGTTAACGTCTCTCAATATCGTAAATAACATAGTAAAGATCCTTACTCTTATTTCTTATGTATTTTAATTGCAAATAGAATAAAATTTGATAAACTTTAACCAAAATACTTTGACAACAAAAGCTTGATGATAAAGCATTTTATAACAAATAAATAAATGCAAAACTGATGAAAAAAACTCATGGACCCTCCATAATGACAAAATGAATACAATAGAAAGAATAATAAAAAGGTTCTTTTAAATTACCATTTACCACAACAGCTAAACTATATTGTTTTTGTAACACTACATACATAAAGTATTTAAAGCGTCTTGTTAGTATAAGTTTATGTGAAATTATGATTAAAGTATCTTCATTATACGGTAAAATAAGAACAGATCAGTATACTTAGTCCAAGTTAGCATTATCACACTACATGCGGAGCGTTAACAGTTTTTCATTCATAAATATTTCCTCATTATAGTATTAACTTTGGCTATCGATTTTTGGTAAGCACTTCATAGCCTGCGTGACGTTGCATGTTTGGACTAGTCAGAACGTACTTTTTCCTTAATATACGATGTTCGTTGTTCGTATTCCTTAATCCCCAAATTCTATATAAGTAATGATTTAATTATTATCCATAAGACTGTAGAAGCACGAATAAAAGAGCAAATATTAGAATTGCATTCAAAGGAATATTAACAGGTAACGATGTTTGATGAATTATAATACTACAAGTCATGCTGTTATAATGTTTTTGGAGTGAATTAGAAAAATACGCTTTTCTATAATTTCGTTAAAAACTTTAAATACTTTTTTCCGTAAAATATTATATGTATAAATATTAAATAACAAAACCAATCTATTTGATAAAACTTCCTGGTTCACATCCTCGTGTAACAAGTATATTAATCAAATTTTAATTAACTTATTCACGCATCTATTAATTATTAATATTAGGAAGAACAGCTATGTCATAATTACGATTCTCCAAATTCAATGAAATCCAAATTAACTTGACGTAGCAGTACGAACACTAAAAACTCAACACAGTATATAGATAATGGGTTAATTAAAAAAGTGAAATTGTCTATGGATGTATAGAACATGACGTCTATATTATGTTTGCATAGATTGACCTGATTTTTACAATTGAATTTCATGGCTATTGATTGAGCTTTTGGGCGGGCTCTGCAGTCACCTTGTCTTGCGTCACGTGTCACAATGTAACCGGAGTTGACGGAGTGACCGACTAGCTGAGTCACTCTTGATATGTTCGCTTATAATGCTAATTTTCCTGTTGTGCGTGTATCTATTAGCATCTAAATGGTTTTTGTAGTACCGTGATCGTATTTGTTTATGAGAAATGCCTTAGTTCTTTATAAAAAAAAATATTACTTTGTTTCTGTTATTAAAAATTTTAATGATCATATTTAGAAGTTTCGTCTTAATTTCACAAAATATATATGTAATACATTCTGTGAATATAAATATGCAAATCTCATAATTAAGTCATTTTGTGAACTTGGAATGCTCATTTGGAATACAAGAGGTAAAAGTTATTTAGGGTAGAATACAGTCTCAACTTTGTATATGAGACATACATATACATACATATTCATTCTCTGGTACATTCAAAATGCAAATATTTCGAAGAAAAGACTATTTCACTGTGACAAAAAAAAAATAAGAAAAGCCTTTAATCGAGAAAATGAATCTTTATGAACTTAAAAATAAGAGTCACTTGTGTTAATTTAAGCAGATTTAAAACGATAAGAGAATAAAGATATTTCAAAAATGTTATGGGGTACCGAGTTTGTCTAAAAGAAATTCACCGATTCCTAAATCGTATGTATGATCGTTAATAGTATTGTGAAAATGTTAGGAAAGTGGCGCCACCTACTAAGTACTAAAGCAAACTCTTAGCTTACACGAACATATTATGGAGAACCTTAATGGAATTAGACACCAAAGTTTATTGCTCTTTATGGGTTATAAAGTTATGAAATCATACGGCCATAATGAACAATTACTTGGTTTATCTATTCACTTAAAATCCTATAAAACTCTATTACAATCACCGTTGCATTTGATACGTACTGGTTACTAAACCTTATTAATTATCGTTAATAAGAGTTAATCTGCTCGATAGTTTATGAAAGGCCATTTACTTATTATTAGCACTTCGTTTAAATTTGAAAATCTTCTTCATACTTAACCATATCAAATCAAATTTGGCTATAAAAGCAAAAGTCACGCTTTACACGGATTCGGATTGGAATATAATGATAGATACGTCATACTTATGAGAAACAATACAAAATCCAAAATCATAATTACTCCAATAAAGATTAATCATAAAGACTCCAAATCATAATTAAAAGGAAACAGACGCAGACAAACTGTTACAATACGTGCACGATAGGAGGGAAAAAGCATATCTCTTCTATGTGTATGTGGCTATGAAGATTTATCGAAAGGATAGAGGCCCACAAGTGTAAAAGTGTATCTTATATATCTTATGAAGTCTGGATTGTTTTTAACTACATTGTTGTTTGAGAAGGAGGGAAAAAAAATTGTGGTCACAAATAATGCTTTTTGTCTGACTCTTCAGCAGTGAGCACGAGTCCAAAGCAGTGAGGTAATATATAAGTAATGCTTGCCCTTTACAAACAGTGTTTCACACATATCCGGACTAATTTTGTTTTTTTGCAAAGACACTGAGTGTGCTTGTAGCTGCCTGAGCTATGGACTCATCGAACAACCATCCACAGTCAAAGGTAGAGGATATATCAATACCTATTAACTGATAGCTATTGCTGTATTCCAGAAATACATTATTAGAAATAAATTACATGGGCAAGCTTTGGCAGCAATGGAAACGTCGGATAAGGGAATGTGGAATTCTATTCCCAAACGTATCATATTAGTTATCTGCTTAAGTGTACGTGAAGCTCGCGTGTATTTGGAAAGTATATGGATACAGACCAAACCAAACAAAAGTTATCATTGGTGATAAGACTTAAGCAAAAGTTCCAGGCAATTGTTTTTATCGTCATTAACATCTGGCACCCTTATGCCAAAGGAAGCCTTTACCAGCTGGGAAAGGTTTAAAGACAAGGTGTTATTCCGCGCTTGTCGCCCAACCCTAGTCTATCAGCCGAAATGAGCAAAGTGAATCAACTGAAATGAATGAATAAAATGAGAAACCTTGATAAGAAGCATTGAAGTCTAAAAAGAACAGCTGTGCTAAAGAGTAACAAAGTTTATCTACGTCAGTGGTCACCGGCATAAACTTTCTTTTTCACATGTGTACCTAACGGATAAAAAGTTTGAGTTTTTAGAGACTCATATGCCAGCAAGCATAAAAAGTTACACTATGTATGTATAATACTAAGTCTCTGTATGATATAGTGTCTTACTAGTCTCTATGTGGTGGTGGAGTTTACAATACAAGAGGTTGTTATCTGACATTATCAAAGTACACACTTTTTTTAATTTGACGTCGTCAAAGAAAAAGTGTACAAACAACAGAATTAAAAACAACAACAACGACAAGATGTCAGAATTTCGGAAAATACCCTTAAAAGATTTATACAATATAAGTCAAAGCCGTTTTATTTGGTTCTCTATATGAATTTACGTTCGAATTTCTTTGTTTACATTAGAATAAGATGTAGCACTAAGAAATTATAACGAAGAGACAAATGGTTTTCACAGATAAACTTGTAATATTAGATTATTCATTATTTTTCCCTATAAAATAATATCAGTTTTCTAGAATAACACTAACACAGTAATATATATAAGAACATTTTTCATAAAAAATAATATTACCACACTTTTTTGTCTATAATTGGAAATAGTTTTACGTCTCGTGAACTAAAGGTTACGTACTTCCAATAATTAATATTTTATCGCATGGAACACATGGCTGTTTGAATTAAACTTTGGTTATTGTTTTGAGCTGTCAATTGTCACTTTAATTTTGACTTACAAAATTTGACAGCTGACATTTGTGTTGTGAATTTGTTAAAGATTTCAATTTGTAGTCAGAATCGAAAAATATTGATTCGCATTATGATAAGCAACTTCGATAAGCTGTGTGGAGACTTAGAAAAACAGGAATTGGAGGTAAAACATATTTCGAAGTAAATTTTTCTTCATTTTAATCGGTTTTCTTTGTTATGTTTATGAAAACAACCTAAAACTATTGGCACTGTATTAAATTTGTTTATCTTTTGTTTTGGCTATTGTTGAGTTTTTAGAATAGTAAATCTGTTATTTATTCTATTTCAATGTCATTAAGCCACAACATTGTAATTAGTATAATTACCATAAAATTTAAAATTAATTGTATTTACTGTACTACCCTATCATTACCATTCTGTTTAAATTTCAAAATCCATAGCACATCACATAGCACATCCATAGCACATCATTTAGCAAAACTAACCACCAACACCTAAAGTCAGTATAAATAAAATATTTAAGTAACAAAATTTTCATACACATATATGAACATTCCAGGCCCCGAATGGAGTAGCATCATCCTCTACATATGCTCAACTATTAGCAATCTATTTATATCAGAATGATTTGTAAGTATAATCAATGGAAGATTTTGTGTTATATTATTTATGTTAAGTGTATGTATACACATCCTTGAGAGCTAATAAACCTAAATAATGTGTACTAAAATTAAATATGTAAATAATTTAGCAATTATATGCTCAAAAATAAGTTTTTAGTCTAAAATATGTATCAGACTTCTTCAATTTCTACTTCTACCTGCAATTTTCCACGCTTTAGCCAGGGCCTCCCTTAAATAGTTTTTGCTAATTGTTTTTACGACCGGCCGCCGGCCTGACATCAAAACTCTTTGGGAATGAATTAATCAGTGATGTCTAAATACTCTTAGAAAGTACATATGACTCGGAAAAATGACATTGGTACTTGCCAGGGCCAGGATCGAACACACACCCTCGTGCATGAGAGGCGGGTCTTTTAACCACTAGGCCACCACTGACTTGAAAATAAATTAAAAAATCACAGTGACTTAATTTAATATTTTATTGCATGAAGAAAATTTCATCTAGAACAATTTACTGTTTCAGATGTAATGCAAAATATTTATGGAAAAGGATTCCTCAGAGTATAACGAGTAGCAATCCTGAAATTCCAGCTATTTGGGCCGTAGGGCAGAAGTTATGGAAGAAAGATCTTGCCGGAACTTACCATGCACTGGCTGCATTCACATGGACCGAGCCTGTAGCTCATATTATACGAGCTCTTGAAGGTATTCATATCTTAATAAGCTAACTTTATTTTGCGCTTTTTTTTTCTTCCTTATAGTTGTGTTATTGCTATACAATTAGTATAATAAGTCATAATGATTTTTATTTAAAATCATCAATATAATAATTAAGATGCTTTTTGAAGACTACAACATGTAGAAACATAGTACAATAACTTACTATATTTATAATCTATAATTTAAAATACTTCTTTTGACATGACATTTTTAAATTTCTTTTTTTTTTAATTGTAGAAAGAGTTCGTGAAAGAGCTTTCAACCTTATTGGACGTTCGTACAGCACTGTTTCTCTTGATACCATAGTGCTAATGACTGGTCTAAGTAGAGAGGCTGTGTTACAAATATGTAGAGATAAAAAATGGGAGTTGCATTCTGATGGTGTTACTATAAGCCCTACACCGCCAGTCCAACCATCTCCGTTACATACCTCAAGTGAAGACCAATTGTTCAAGCTCACAGAATTCGTATCTTTCTTAGAAAACTAGATTTATATGTTAGATTTAAAATTTCTTTAACAATTTCTATTTGTGTTGCCATTGATAAATAAATACAGCACACAGAAGCATAAATAGTTTTATTTATTTATAAAATAAATTGAACAATATTGAATAGTAGGATTTTAACTACTCAAAATATTAAGCAAATTGGGTTATATTTACTGTATAAGTTTATGATGTTCGGAAAGGATGAATAATTCAATAAAAATTCATAATACTTAAACATAAAAAATCATTTGTATATATATGTCTTAAACACAAAAATATAGTTTATACAAAAGTGGCAGTGTTTATTCAGTATTTTTGTTTTAGCTGTACTTAAATAAGTAAAGAACACAATGTCAGTTGTCACTTTAAGTAACTACGTAAAAAAGAATATCACAAAAAATGATGTCAAAAAGTTCAAAATAAAAAGGCATTATCCTAATAAATGAGTATCTACATTTCTTAAAAACTAGATGTTTTAATTCGTAATTTTGGCAGCACTGACGATTAGCATCTTTTCTAGAAGCGTGCTTGGAAGGAAACTTGGTTTTGTCTAGGCTGGAGTCTCATTGAATTGCTGTCGTCTTCGTCACCTAAAGAAGTCTCATATCCTCTGTTAATCATTCCACCGTTTGGTTCAGCGAAAACATCTTTCACTGAAATATTTGCTGTCGAAGTCCTATGACGTGGTGGAACTGGATTGTTATTTAACTGAAATTAAACAAACAGTTTTTTTTAACAAGACTATTAAAACAAATGTCTATTAAAGTGAATTAATAATTACAATTCCAGTGACGCCATATTCATTATTTGCGCCAAGCGTTTGCATCTGTGATTTCCTCCTCTCAGCCATCACAGAATTCCTCCTTACTTCCAAAGCCTTGAGAGTTTCCCTTCGCAACGTCATTTTGCGGTTTAGAACTGGTGTTCCTATAAAAAAAAATAAAGAATTAATAATTTTGAAATGCACTTAACAATAACTCATAGGTACATATTCAGTATGAATTTGAAAATAAGGTACTTTACCTGGACCATCATTAGCGTTCATGTTGAAGAAACGTTTCTTAAAAGCAACGTCCAATGTTCCAATGTTTCTCTTCTTCTGTCTAGCTTTCTCCAAGTTATGAATAGTCTTTCTTCTACCAACGTTTTGTGGACCTGATCCCGAATCATTGTCATAATCATCGTCCAATCCATTTAATTTTTGCAAATCTTTCACTATTGCTATTGCATTTTTATCCAATAAAGCATCTTGTGACAAATCATCGGTCTACAAAATAACGAAAACAGTGAATTATTTATAACAACCTTCACTATCAAAATTAAAAAGAAAAATTCAAATTCAATATACCTTCTTTGAAAAGAACCAATTCAATTCAGTTGATGCTAATATATGTGATATTGTACCAAATCTATGGAACAACATAGCACTGAACTGAATTACTAAAATCAACGCGAAGAAGAATACAAATACTAAACCAATGGGTTCCAATTGTAAGTATTCTTTTGATATTAATACCTGAAATATTCAAATAGACGAATATAACATTTGATTAAATGTAATATATCTAAGGGGAAATAAAATAAGCGAAAGCAAAAAATATATATGTATATACGCCTATGACCAGTTCATATAATAAAATAGTAATACTTCTATTATCTTCACGTCTTGTACTTAATATTCCAAATGGATGAAAATGCAAAGTACAATACATATATGGAAATTTACAATGACATAGATGTATAAAGAAAATAATAACTGGGCCTTTTTTTTTTGTGAATAATTACACGTACATATAATAAATTATATCAATTACAAATAAAGAAAACATACAAAGTAAAAAAAAGTTAATAAAACATCACATGAACACAAAACGAACACAACAATTATGAAATTTTAAATGTTATCCAAATCACCACCCAACTCGTGATGGAAAGTATGTACAAAGGGTACAGGTGACTGTTACGGAAAGAAAAGAAACTTAATTGAAGTATATCCACCACCTTATAGAGAAAGATAGAGTATAGGATTGTGCAATTATTACGTAGGTTTAAATAGTTGCTTTAACATAGAACCAGGATAGGGTTTCTATGTTAATTCAAACACTGTGTTTATGGAACTTTGGGGGCCTTTATTAGGGTATTTCTTTAACCTTTTGTGGTACCCAAAATTGTTTAGTCTTAGGTGTGGAAGATACAGAATCTTCATGCTGGTGTGCCAACCCAAGACAGATCGGTTAGAAGTAGACCGTTAGACTTGTAAAGTGACACACATAGTTTGTAATATTTGGCTGTACCTCGCCTGTATCCTCGATGTACGTAATGTTTGTCTTTACACCCAAAGGCCAAATCACGTGGAGTTGATCTTTGTTGAGTTGTAATAAAAATACTATCAATATAAATAAAGCATTGAACATGACAAATGCAAATACTGACTTATTGCGAAGTTCTAGCAAATCATTTGCAATTCGAGCCTGTAAAAGTACATACAATTGAAGCATTAATAAATCAACTTTCAATGGTGACCGAGGAGGACTTTTTGTATTGCTTTATGATAATAACGTGAGGCAATTGGCAATCTACTACAGTGTCATCTGAAGTCATCATTGAAGGCCGATCGTCAGACACAGTATACTCTCACGTTACCTCTTGGGATATTTCATCGTATGTAATATTAGTTTTTACTCCGAGCGGCCATTTAATATGAAGATTGTCCTTATTTAGTTGCAGCAAGAAAACAATTAACACAAAAAGGGCATTAACCATAAAGAATGAAAAAACAGAGGAGTCTCTCAATTCTTTTAGATCTCTGGATATACGTGCCTAAAATTCAGTGTGGATTAGTAATAAAATTTCTTATATATATGTTACAAAATTTGTTTTATGCATTGGTCCTGAAAAAAAGATGAATTATTCTGCCCCTCACTTTTGTTTATATATTAAGAATAATAAGAGCAGGGATTTTCATTCTTTACAATCCTCTTTCATTATATCTTTTCTTTTTAATAAACTTTTTTTTATATATATTTTAACTTCTTTGCAAACATGCAAACAAACTAATATTTTAAATAATATAGATTGGATATCGTTTCCTGTAAACAACACCGGAGACCTTACCTGTTCTTCCTTATTAGCATCAATGGGATATAAATATTTGTCAATAAGATCTTTCCAAAATGATAGTTCGGATGGGCTCAAAAAGTCCATTTCTCCCTTTTTCAATTCCGGGTCTTCTATCCAATATGGATTTATAAGATCATCTCGCTTCTCCTACAACACATGAATATATAAGTTTTATATCTATATGTTAATTTATTAGAAAATGTATTTTAAAGTTATGTACCCTGGGTACTGTAGATATTGTATCAGTTTCCGAATCAGATCCGTGTTCCTCTTCTGCTCCCTCTGCTACAGTCACTAATTGGTCACCGTTTGTACTACCTCTGGGTCCTACTGACAATTTTCGGCCTCGTAATTGTCCATGCGGGTCCACAATTCTACAAATATTAAAAATTATGTGTTATACAAATTTATTCCAGTTTTAATAAATCTTACATGAATAATAGATTTTTTGATTGCCATTATACCTTTCTACATTTTCCAATTTTCTCTCCAATTTGTCAAGGGTGGAAGCAATGTGCATGAGTTGTATCTTTTCTTCATTTCCTTTTGGTTGGGTACAAAGTAAACATTTAAACAGACCAGCGAACGAGAACTCTATAGAACCCTCTTCTTCGTTACTATTTACCCCCTGAAGGAAACCTAACAAAGACTTCTGTTTTGCCTTTTTCTTAGCTTCTTCTGCTACTTTCTTTTCTTCTTCGATTTCCTTTAATGATAAAAAGTAAAATTATTAGCATCTATATTTAAAACATAATGCATATTTATTATTAAAATTATATTTACCTTTTTAGTTTTCTTTGTTTGCACTTCTCTAGTACCCCATGATACGACATTCAAGTTAGTTACAGAATACAAAATCAAAAGCAGGTACATAGATGGGATGGATAGCAGATAAATAATACCGGGGACGACACACCAAAACTCTTGCGGATGTAGACACGCTGCTATAAAGAATGAACTAGACAGTGATATTAAGAAAATGGCCGAAGGTGATCCTATACCGTCCTCCCCTAATTGAAGAGCAGTACCGACAATCACAGCCATCATTATCATAGCATACGCTGTTGATAATATTTGGGCGACTAACAGCTGAAACAATAATATTTTTTATTAACAAATCTTGAAATTCTGTGTAAACGTATAAAAAGTCATTTTAAATATTGCTACCTGATATTCCGATTTCATGGTGAAACAAACAAACATGAAGAGAGCAATAGGGTACAGATTGTATTCGAATGAAGTCCAATTGTCAATTCTAAAGGCTGCCACAAAAGCACCCACCAACATAAGAAATATGGTACCAGGTCCCAGAATAGTTCCACCCATCAACATCATCTGTAAAAACCATAATACTGGTGTAAAATAAAAGCGTCATATATTTAAAATTAGCAATACTTCAACCATATTTACCTGGTATGCAATATAAGGAGCCGAAATGTTGTCGTTAATTTTAATCGTGTGTTTGTAATCCGCTAACAAGTCCATAATGTTGGCGATAGTGGAAGGTACCCAACGACGACGTTGATTATAGAACTCATTAAATCCTTCAGGAGCGTGTGTGTATGCATCGGATGCAGCCGAATACTCTACTCGGTAGCCTCGTTGAAGCAAAAGCGTACAGAGCCATCGGTCCTCGCCTGAAAAAAAGAAATGCCACTATAAATACCTCATACCAAAATACATTTAAACTAATTCAAAATTTTTTGCTGAGCAAATAAAGTGTATGCAAATAAACAATGTATATATGTACAGTATAAGAAAAGTTATACCGTAGTATTTTAAAATTTGTTCGAACCTCTAAATAATATTATTAAATAAAAATAATTGTATCACCAAGCCCAAGAGTGGACTGTATTTAAAATTAAATGCTTATTAAAACTATTATACTTAACCGTATATATTTAACATAAATTCTATATCATTATTCATTTTATGTACTACAGTAACTTGCTTGGTACCTTGATCATATTGTACATAATGCCGAGCTTCATCAGATCTCAATGTATATTTTTTCATAACGTTGTCGTCCATCAGAGCTTTTCCTCTGAACAAAGAGAAGCACCCGGGACTACAAAGTACGCAGCCAATCATATGCTCAGTCGCCTTTTGCAGCCAATGACCAATCGCATACTCAAACAATTGATACCATACCATGGGACCTATAAAATAATGGCATTGTAGATATTTAGTACTACATATTATCATAAACAAATAATTAGTAATGAAATTTTTATTATATGTTCTTACCAGAGCCAACTGGATGAATACGTCCACAAGCTGCTCCCAGATTTTTGTTCTTTTTCATTAAATCGATCAACAGACGCACTGCATGAGGTTGGAAATCAATATCGCCGTCGAGGGTCAACAAGTATGTGTTTTCAGCCATAACCTCTTTACGATCAACTGATATTGGCAGCTCCATTAGACGATGTCCCAATAAATAGTACATGTACATCACCTAAAACACATTATGTATAATATGACTTAAAATTAAATATCTTTAGCTTTCCTACAACGTTGCATTATCATACTGTACACGAATAGTTTCCAGATGGAATTACTAGTTTCAGGGCCAATCAGTATCCGATATGACTAAATAACCTTGTATTAAGGGAACTGATGTATGGATTACCTATCCTGCATTGAATATATTGTGTACCTGAGACCAACGTTTCCTGTGACGAATCTTAGATTTGTCTTTCAAATGACAGATCATCTTAGTTTTTCCTGGCAGAACCCACGACAGTCTTCCACCATACGGAGCTGGATATTTCTTCGGCGGTCGGACACGTATGATTGTTTGATGGACCTCAGAAGCTGCCTCGTCGATAGTATCCACAAGAAGCTTCACAAAACGATTGACTTGTGAATCATCGTCATTGTGATCCGATATTTCGAAAGCGTCGTCTAAATATATGTGAGCTGTAATAAAACTTTCATTTAATATGCGTCATTGCACAAAAAATATTATATTATTTCCAAGTTTTATACAATACATAATATGTATTTATAACATTTTATTTATATTGTTTATCATTTATTATGTATTGATATAAATATTTATCAATATGGTTATATAATACCATGTGATAAAATGGTTACACTATTTTTTCAACTTCATAGGCTATCAACAAATAACTGTTAAGCAAAAAGACTACTTTTGATACTGAAGATTTGGTAATAAGTGGAAAATAAAATAAAATGGAATGCAATAATAAATATTGATATTAAGTTCCTTACTTTCAAATTCATAGTAATCGGGATCTACAACCCTTAAATATTTCTGTGCCACTCGTCGCGCACATTGATCCTCGTCCAAACGTAGAATAGACTTCAAGAACTCCATCATCTCGTCCTTAGTTTCATGCCACATAGTGCAACACGCATAAATTCTTGTTATTTGATCCGATGATTTTATAGTTTTAGGCGACGGACCAGTATTATCCGTGTGAACGGATATTGTTTCGTAATATTCATCGCCTTTCTCTTTCTCTATTTCCGCTAAATCCTGAATGATGTAACATTATAACATAATTATATTTTAAAACATTAATTTACACTAAATTAATAAATTATAAGAACATTAAAAGTATATTGCTTTGATACCTCTGTTTTAACGTCTTTCTGGTCGTCTCTTTTTCTATTAAGGGCCATACTTTGATCAATAAGTAATCCATTATACATTGGAAGCACAAACAATTTTTCGGTTGAAGCCAAACGTTCTGCTTTCGGTGTCCAAATATGAATGGTAACCCACGTTTGCGATAGCAACCACAGCAGCCAAATCCATGCCATTTGTCGAGAAATGAAATCGCTTAGTGTAAATACTGCAAAATAAAAAAATCATTCAGATACTAAGATAAAATAATACATATTTAAAAATTACGCAAGAAATTACAAATTACCTGGAGGACTCTCGAAAAACAAGTAATCCGGTATAGTGCCATGGAAAATACAAGTGTCACCATTCCTTAATCCACAAGCCGCTATCAAAAAGTTGACTACTAACGGTATCACCAAATTTATAGGAAAAGCGTAACTGAAGCCTTGGATGAGAATTTTGCAAGCAAACTTTCCGAAAATATAACAAAAATATGCTGCGAAAATTTGTATTAGCATCACGTAAAAGGCCGATTTATATACTGCTGCAACTTCAACCGAGTCTCCCGTGAGGGTTGCATTTGCGAGATCAGGAATTACCGTTCCACCTAATTGTATTTGAACCTAAAAACAAGAATAACATAAATGAATCATAGGTGACATTAGAACATTAATAGTACAACCATTTTGATATAAAGTATACCTCTTCTACGACGATATTATGTGGCTTAAAACCAGGACTGAAGAGCTGGAAAAACATAGCTGGTTCGTCGCCATCCATCCAAATGGAAAACAGAATACACATGACAAACAATATAATTTTCCATACAGACATAATACGGTATGTGTAATATCTACTGGAATTAAATTCATCCTTTAATCTACCCAGACTTTTGATTATACCTGAAAGGAGAAATTTTAATTATTACACTAATTGTATCATATACAATAATTATTATTTTTTTGGTGTGAGCTTACCGATAGGACTCTGGCGGGTAACGTAATTTTCCCACCATCCCAAAGATATGCAGAGTGCTGAAATAGGGATGAGCCACAAAACTGGTTTGTTTTCAAGTAAAGGCCAGACAATGAAACCGGTGACTTGTGCAACTATAGCAGCCATGTCAACTATTGTCTTCATAAATCGCTTCGAATCTCGAGAACTTCGTGATAGTAAGCCAAGAATTGCTGGCACTATACAAAGACAGTTGGTTATCATGGCACCCTTTACGACGTCTAATTCTGGTAGAATTTTGAAGAACAATAAGCCCAAACCAATGGTGTGCAAGGATTCTGCTATAAATATCTGAAATCATAAAATTTTGTGTTTGAAATCTAACATAACTTTTCCTCTTTCTAAATAACATATTTTTCTTATACATCTAAAACTTACCACAATGAACTGCACGCTAGTTGGCCGTTTAGCTGATTTGAAAAAGCAGATTCGAACAGCTCTTATTAATGTTCCTATTTCTGGTATAGCAAAAGCCGCAAGAAGTGCCCACATCCACGCTATTCTTTCTTCGTCTGGCAAACTCACTATAAATTGTTTATCCCTACCTGGAAAAGGAAGATAATTAAAATATAGTATGCCAAAATATTACTTAATTTAATTAATAATATATTCTTATTTGCTCCAACATACCTAAATTCCTATTACAATATGCTAGTCGCCTGTCTTTTTTTAATTGTGACGTCATAAATAGGACCGTTCCTTTGGCTATCACACCAGATCCTAAGACGACGATGAAGGTTACAGTATACGCCAATACTTTGAGGATTCTTATAGTAAACTCCAGACATTTCTGACTCTCCATGGAGCCACTCTCCTGCTTCGGAGGGAACTCTCTGAAGACGTCCCATCCTTTCGTTTCGTTCACTGTTCTTTGACTGAAAACATTAAATAGTTTTTTATTAAGCGTTATTTTGATAATTAAATTCAAATATGTATTATAAATAACAAATACAAATGTAATTTAAAACTATATTTAATATCTGTGAAGGACTAAAACGACATATAAAGTAGTTGTATAGTGCATGTGGTATTGAGACAATAATTGAGCTCTTGAGGTTTCAAATGAAATATAAAGTGATTACATAGTATTGAGAGAGAATTTGATGACTTCTACCAATTTTATTTTATACTGAGAATACAAAATTTGTCTTTAATTTAATAGCATACTTGCAATTTATTTCAATTACATTAGCAGGTACTTATTACACATCCGCAGTACATGTCATACTTGCCTTTAATATGTATTAAGTCAAGAAAAACAACTTTCTCATTAGACCGTAATAAGAAAATACCTCATCTTATATACTTCCTGTTCTACTTCTAATAATATCTTGATATCATTAATATATTGATATTAAAGCATTATAGTTAAAACATTATAAGTATATAAAATATATTATATTTTAATAAAATAATAAAAACCTCAAATTTTTTTAAATCTAAAAATATAGACAACAGACAAAATTTCATATGTGAAAATATAAAAAAAACGACAAGTTTAAAACAATTTTGTTTTCGTATTCAATAACGTATAAGTTATTCGGAGGTAAACTTAACGGTATTATGAACTTAAAGGGTTTAGTGGTCGGAATAAATAATACAATTTGTGGCCTAACTTCAAACACTACGTGTACATTTCGTACGTGTACAATCCAATAAAGTATTCATAGATAATTACACTCAATGCTTCTGAATGTGACAATTTACTTTTATTTAATTAGTTCATAGAAAGTTGTTACAATGTTTGAGCGTGTCGACATCACATTCTTACTTAGCCACTATTGTGACAAGGGGTTTGCGCAAGATATGTACTCGTAGTACAATATAATTTAGCGTTGCTAACACTGTGACCAATGATTGCCCCCATTGAAATGTTATAAGCAATGTTTTAAGATCAAATTAACAGTCATTGTTCTACGTTTTGAAATTATGAACATAATATAAACAGTTTTTTCCTAATTGTATGTTTGAACTTTGTTTTAACTTATTTAATCATCGTTTAAGATTTAACGAGTGGATTATAAAAAATAAAACTAGATTAAGTAGTTCAATTACATATGAAAAGAAAGAAGTACATAAGAATCTATGTCTGGCCTTTCATTGCACCTAATGAAAGTATAAAAATTTCACATATAAACTTGATTATACATATTTCTTTCTATTTTAAATTTCACTATTATTTCAGTCCAGCGAAAGAAAGTTTAACATACCTGTAAATGCTGTAGTAATTGCTATAAATGGAGTTATTGTTATTAGATATATACACAGATTCCACTCCTAAATCGTGTTTATCGTAGTAATTCTTATCTTTATCGCCCATATTAACACTTGAAACTCATATTATATATTAATATGAAGAGAAATTATTATGTGTGTTGTCCGTACGAATATTATTTAATAACTCATTGTTTCATCAATCGGGGACGTCAAACGGTGTGCTCGCGATTGCTACTGGCGGTGCACGCAAAGAAACCAACGATCTAACACCGGACAAAATTGGAATATTAATTTTTATATATTCGCGAACTAAAGGAACGTGGATGGAATAAATTATCGAAAGTAATGATGAAATTTATTGGAATTGATATCAGGTGTATAGGGGCTTTCTTAAAAACACTTACCTATAATACAAAAAATAATTTTGAAGTTAACTGTAACTTGTTCAAGATATTCATTTATTTAATATTTAACAGCGTTTATATCATTAAATACTTATGTTAACCACTTTCGTATATTCAAAGCATTTAAAACTAGGAATTGTGTAAAATTTTTATTATATTTATTATAAGAGATGCTTGGTAAAACAGAAGTAGGTAATTGTCTGAAAAAAATCTTAAAAAAATTCAATATATTAAAATTTGCAAACAAATAAGAAGACAAATTACCCCAATCATAATCGTAGCAAAATAATAATTATTTTTTAACATGAAGACTTATTAAAACAAGAATAATTTTGTCCGAGACTTTTCTATTTAACACCAGTGTGCGAGTTATTCGTTCTGCGACAGTGGATACGTGAAATCACTTCTCGAAGTTAACAAGTGCATCCTATGTGGAAGTTAAATGAAAGATGCATTCAAAATAGAACATCTAATCATTATCTATATATAAATATTTATAGGTCAAAATCATCTTTGATCTTCATACATTAATAATTCTAACACGATTTCATGTACTGTCAATTTAATTAACTAAGTACCATTCTTGTTATAACTGCAATATAATATGTATTATTGATATCAATGTATTTAATATACACTTCTTCGTTGTATATCCGTCTCATCACGAATTTTTAAAATAATCATAAAAACAAAAATAAAACAATTAATATATATTTGATACAAAACACATCGACCTTCCAAATATCACGAGCTTGATAGAATTTAAATATTAAACTCTGTTCGCAGCTAGGTAGATGCAGTCTGCAACATGTTACTACATCTTCAAGCGATATTCGACTTTAAATTCTACGCATTAAGGTATTTAATGAAATATTTATTCCATTCTAACAATAGACCGCTCAATGTCGTTACAGGTCACGAAAACTTACGAAAGCCTTTACCTGGCTTGCAGTCTTTAAATAAAACTAAGGTATAGGAAGTATGGATTTTAAAAGATTTTAAATCTTATTTATATGCAATAATTTCTATTGTATTTATTGTAGCTTTGGATTAAGAGCTGACTTTTGTTACTTTATTTAATGTAAATAGGTAATTATAATACTAATTTTCCTACCTCCTCTTTCTTTATTTAATTGTATATAGTTCTACATAACCATAACTGTATGTCTTCTTCTTGTACCTGGCAATTTCCCAGCTATACCATAACTGTATGTATATATGTAAAATAATTAAAAGTACTCCACAATTCAGAGTTCTCTTAAAGCATTTGTATGCGAAACATTCCCAGATTCTTGCCCGGAGTCCGGTCATTGACCAAGTCAATACGCCTGATGCTTACTTTTACCGATTTCACTAACATGATAACTTTATACCGACATCACTACAAACTATATGTATATATAATGATTCATGCTTAAAATACTGTTACTTACATATATATTTCTTGAGATAATATATAAATAATATATATATGTATATATATTTTACTGAACCCGTTGAAATACAATATTCGTCTCACGCACGACCCCGTCCCGGTACACAGTGCAACCGATAGTAAAAAAAACAGAAGTATACAAGCTATTTTATACCTTATTACCATAATAATAGACACGAAATTCGTATTACTATATTATTATAACGTTTTTTAGACGGCATGTATGCAAAGACTTATTGTAAATACCAATTAGAAATGTTAAAGAACAATCTAGATTGTTAAAATAATTTGAACAAAATTAATTTGTTTACGAAATCTGTGACAAAATAATGTAGTGTTACGTCAGAATAAGCAAGTATGCGGAAATTAAATATACAAGGTTAAATAAAGTTTTGAAAAGGTTATTAAAAACTATAGTAGTTCATCAATTATTGTAGTATTATCTAGGACAGCTATATCTATCTAGATGAAGTGGGGAACAAAAATGTGGCGATCGAAAGTTGCGTCGTCAGTTGACAACCTTGGCATTTGAGCGGGTTCCGGGGCTGGCTTTAACGTATCAAAGGCTTGATTTACCTTTGTGGCATAAAACATTGGATAAAGAAATTACTTTTAAGCTTCGAATACGGATTTAATTGAAGATTTCGACAGAATTACAATAAAAGATTCATGAAATTAATGTTAAAGCTCAAATTTTTTGTATCTTTTAAAAGTTTAAATTCAGGAAAATATTATTAAGATTTTAAATATATCTCTAATCATTTCTGGGAATAATTTCGTCGGACACAACCTGTTTTGTGGACAAATGTTGACATTCGAGTATATGCAAATTAATATATAGATTATAAATCTTCTTGACGTCTAGTCGTCAAAATAGGATAAAGAACTATAAGAAATTTAAAAAACCATATATAGTTTGTATTTATTTAGAATAATAGTATTATGATTATAAACCTTATTACATTATGATATAAAGTTCATTTTACATTGTAATAAGTAAGGAATATTGATTAAAAGATACCATAATGATACTTGAAGTTCTATTGGACTTTCGTAATAATATAGTTATTTAATTATTGATTAATCACTGAGTGTTTGTTCCATGACTTTATACATGTGCTTATACGTGACTAAGAAGAAAACCTCGCGTAGTATTTAACGAAGACTCAGTAACTTTTAATATGTACTCAGTACTTTTAATATACTAATAAAATAGTAATCATTAAAATAGAATTAAACTAATTTTATACAGATTCTTAATAGAATTTAGTTAAAATTTAAACTTGGTTAAAATTAACAACTTCAATCGTATATGTATATTGAGTCACCAATGAGGTTGTATTTAAAATCTGGTTATGTTAATAATAAATTACGGAAATCTGTTGTTTTCAATAATTATTTATATCCAAATAATTTTATTACTAATTAGACGATACAAAAATTTACGTGTTTATTAATAAGGATTAAGTTTTAGATTCATTTAAATCTTAAAGGAATTAATTAATTAAATTTAATATTGAAGCTACAAAATTCTTTAAAAACTGAATGTAATTACGATAAATATATGCATTAAAGATGGAAATTAGAAATAACTTAGTATAGATTGTTTGTACACCAACCTGCCGCCGTATATATCGTTAGGTAGAGGCAGCAGTTCATCGTCTGAGTTATCACTCGCCTCCTCCCGCCGCGACTTTCCACCGGAAGTCGCCATCTTCTAAACCCTGGAACAATCATCACATCATTTCCTTATACAAAACTTCTTTTTATATTGTTTCAAATTAAATAATATTTCAGTAACTTAATAGAAAATAATAATTTAATTGGATAACTAATATGTATGTTATTTCAAACGTGAAGTCATAAATTACTTGATAACATAACTCGGTCGTGTGTAGTATGCAATATATAATGTGCATGATTACGTCGAACGCGTTGAAGTCTTTTATACTGGAGTCGATTCCAATATGTATTTCTATAATACATATATTACTAGCACTCTATTTATTCAAATCAAATATACATCTAGAATGTTCTATAATAAAAGCTTATATGGTTTTTGTAATAAAGTATTACAAGTGAGAAAAGCCTTTGATGATGAATTTAAATTTAAAACGCAAAACTTATGGACGATATTTTTATAAGACCTTACAACTACGTAGTTGACACAACAGAAATTATTTATAGCTTAAAATTCGTATATTTATAATTAAATCCAAAAAAATATATTCATAAACGAATTTGTTTGTATATATCATAATAAGGTTTGAAAAGGTTTCACCAATAATATACATATACAGGGTGACTGGTGAATTACTATCAATATTTAAGGAGAATACTCGGTACATGATTCTCATTCGAATTATGTAGAAAAATAGGTACTTAATTTTTGACCAAATTTCCGTATAAATAAATAAATAAAGCGTGGACACGTTCCAAGTGTTCTAAGTGTGGACGTGTGCGGCGGCGTGCTGATACAACACCACGCCGCCGCACGCAAGAATGTGTGTGTGTGTGTTTACCTAATCTGTAGGGTGTTCACACGATGCGTAATTAATTACATAACTTTTGGTTAACTTTACTTAGAAGTTTATTAACATTTATGTTATATTCATTTTTATTTTGTCATATATGATCGTCAAATATCACGTCCTCAAGTATCTATAGTAATTCACCAGTCACCCTGTATATACATGTATATACATATATACACTTTCATCTTCTTTATATCTAACTAAAACTACTAAACATAGTCACAATATACTATATATATCTATATGTAAGTATATATTTTCAATATATCAGAATAACAATATGGTTGTCGTGTCAGCCGGCTGTTGGTTCTTCATTCCGGTTTATTTGATTATTCATAACATTGATATTTCCCGATGTTTTTTAACGAACACTTCGACAACACATCGGCAATATACTTAAAAATTAATAAATACTATTGAAAGAGAAAAGAGTTTGAAACTAAAAAGTATGTATATAGTAATAAATATCATTAATATTTAAACAAATATCTTCAATATTTGAGTGTGTATTATATGTATTTTTAATTTTTATATTATAAATAAGAAAGTTTTCTTTTCGTGAATCATGATACAATGTCTGTACATTCCGCGGCGAGCGATCCCTTAGCCTTGTAGGTTATTCATCCTCAATTTTATTGTACATTTACAACTATATACATATATATAGTATATATTTGTATATCTATAAATTCCATATCTATATATTATATTAATAAATACAACGATACTATATATGTACGAAATAGCAAAGAAATATATCGGAAAATGTATAGTATAGTATGAAATATTTATACAAATATTTTAATACACTTTAATAAAAAAAAATACTAGAAGTTAGTAATACCTAAGCTTATTAAATATTTCATACAAAAACAAAGCTTCTTCAATACAATACCTTCAACAATGATCGTATATTTATGTGACAGTAAAGTAAATATCTATGTATATAATAAGAGGCTAGTGCTCATTGTGTGCGGAGGTCTGGCTGCAAGGTCAGCGACTTGCTTACTGACTATACAACTAAATACACCAAAATAAAACAAATAATATATGTATATATATATATATGTATGAGGATAGCTTTGATGTTCGTTGAATATATATGTTAAAGTTGTATGTTAAAAAACGTAGATAATAGAACAATTTCATAATTATTTTAATATTATTACAATGTTTGATAAATGATTTACAAATTTTATATTAAAAAAATGTATTAAAAATTTCTTATTATATGTTCACACATAGTCTCACGACTTCATATATGTACATATATCTAAAAAATTATTACAAAAAAAAACATATTTCTTGTTACTAACATCAATATGTTTGTAAGTTTGGACAAATAACTTTATTTTAACATTATAAGATCAATATTATTACTCAGTATCGTTCCACTCGAGCACACTTTCACTCTTGGCGGCCGTCACCTCCCTCCCCTCAACAGCCTTAGTACGCAATGCCTTACATTCTTAGTAAAGGACATGCAATCTCTTAAAGACAAAAAAAGATAAGCCTACAAATTGAATTGTAATCACCATTAGAATGATAGAATGGATTAATGATTTAAACTATTTTGAAATTAATATTACAAAATTTGTCGTGGTGGCTTAGTGGTTAAAGGATCGCCTCTCGCGCATGAGGGCGTGGGTTCGAAACCTGGCAGGTACCAATGTGATTTTTCCGAGTCATACATTACATAATACTTTCTAAGAGTATTTAGACACTATTGTCAGAAGGAGAAGGAAAACGTCGTAAGGAAACCTGGACTTATATTGTCAAATTATAAGTTCGAAATCGCCAACCCGTCTTGAGCAAGCGTGGTGATTCATGCTCAAATCTTCTCCACGTGAGAAGAGGTCTTTGCTCAGCAGTCTGCTCTTATAGGCTGATGAATGAATGAAAATTTCAAAATTTATATTTCAATTATTTGTATGAGATAATAAAAATTAATTAGTGTTAGCTAAAATAAAAAGACTTGAAATTGATCTCCGATCTGGTTAACCATTTTAACAATGACATTGATCGCGGGTTACAAATCTATGAATCATGGTAAAAAAAAACGCCTAAAGAATGTCAACAAATTAATTTGATCGTAATATTTTTAATAATTAGATGTTAATGTCGCAATTAGTTAAGAAACAACTTGATTACTGTTATGTTTTATTAATGACGTCATTACCAAATAGAATAAAATGACAGCTTGTAAATAAAAAATTACAACGAATTTTATTTTATTTTAATATTAATATCTAATAAAAAGATAAATTACGAAATATATAAAAACCTAATCATAACGTGATTATTACAGGTCGATTGAATGTACATATAATACTTGAACAGTAACGCAATATTGAGGCCAGTTTTGACGAGTTACAAACTGTAACGTAAACAACGAAGTGAAAGTATAAGAACTACTGAATGGAGAGAAAAATCTTCCTTAATAACCTATAATAAAGTCAAGGTAAAACTATGTTAAAGATAGGAAAAACTAGGATACCAAATTGATATCAAATTATTATTAAAACTCATTAGTATTCATGATTATTGTTGAAAGTAAAAACGAAATCAAAGACTTTTTAAAGGGAGAATAGAACTATGTTTGAATTTTGGTATAAATATGACGTCTGGACTTACGACATCAGAGTTCAGTGAGTGCGAACCATTGAAGAATGTGATTACGAAGAACTTTCGAGAAATAAAAGGAAATTTAGAACAATTGAAGTTTCATTTTAAAATATCAAGGAACATACTAGAAGAAGTGACTTGAGAAGAGTGTATTTTTCACCAGTACAAATCTGCATGACATGTCCAGTACATACAGCTTAAAAACTAGTTGTAAAACCTACTAAAGCCGTGACCTGACACATAATGTAATGCATTTTGAATTCAAATCCGTACAAGTATGATATAAGCTAAACTTTAATATTAAAACTTAAGAAATAGTATTATTATGAAATTATTATAAGTGTTATCCAACACAACAATAGTTTAAAGACGTGTCTTTACAACGCGAAATTATATAACCCATATAATAGATTTAATACTTCTTCCTGGCAATTTCCCACCTTTAGCCAGGGTCTGCCTTACATGTTGTGCATAGTTTGGGCTAATTGTTTTTACGACCGGCCGGGTGAATGACATCGACTCCCTTTTGGGAATACATTTATCAGTGGTGTCTAAATACTCTCAGAAAGTACATATGACTCGAAAATCACATTGGTACTTACCAGGATCGAACCCGCGCCCTCATGCATGAGAGGCGGGCCTTTAACCACTAGGCCACTACTGACTCATATAATAGATTTAATATAAAATTCAATGATAATAAAAATTAATTTAATATTAGTTGAAAGGTCACCAGAAAGATGTTAATATCGTTTGACCTCACACTGAATATAAAGTTGATGGTCGTCTGGTGTTAATCATTGTGACAATAAATGATATACTTAGTCTTAGTTGGCATCGTCACGCTATATACGGCAGATTAATAGTTTTTCATTCATAATTTACGCATATTGTAGAAACGACAAACGGGAAACGCTTCATGTGTATTAGACGATGCAAACTTTAACTACGCATAAAGAATTAATACGCAAAATACGTTATTTGAAAGAGAATTTAGTTTCAATGTAACTGATAGAAAACGAAGTTTCTTTTAGGTGTTGTTTTTTTTTCATTCTACTTTATTTCTCAGATTTGCAGACCACGGATCAGCCGCGACTTTGTCGATGTTTTTTTATGATTATATTAGCATAATGTTTCATCTTAGAACTAGTTTTCTTAATTTTTCTTACCAATAGAAGCGTTTTAGTAGATTAGTAGTAATAGGGAATAGATTGAAAGACCCTTTATAACTTGACTTTCGTATAGATAGTTTAGTGTTATTTATATGTATACCGATCACTTCTTTTATGGAATTTTATTTGTTTTCAATAACACAACCCTCACCTTGCCTTTACTTCCTTTCTTACTTACCAATTAATTTGTAAGACTTAAGTAAAATTAGTGTATATGAATATTACATTCAAAACTTAGAATTTGTTATATGATACTATACTACTAGCTACTAGGTCGGCTACGCAATCCATAATTTTTAACTAATTACGTAATAAATGGAGGGAAATCATAAATGTTTTGTTCGAGTGAGAACGACCCTCTATAGGAACCGGATATAAGCGAGGCCTAGAGGCCGCAAGTCTTTCACATATCATTATATATGTACTCTCGATGATCATAAGTCATAGTATGATATACAGTCATCACATAGTATACACGTCACACTCATATTACACAAACTTAACATAAAAAAACTATATCAAAAAACTTTCACTAATTTTTTCACGAATTTACTAAATATAATGACTGAGGTCATTAAACAAAACCAATGAAAGTGTCATTGCGATAAAAATTGTATATTGTTTAGTCAAGGTCGTTAACTTTCGATTAAGAGAAATGTTTATAAAACTTATTAAATATCCAAGAATTAAAACAATGATGTATTAAGTTGAATATTTCCTACTCTTACTAAAGCCTACGCCACGCAAAGCTACCTTCACTTTTGATAGCAAATGTTACAATATTGTAGCTTAACACAGATATAATATAAAAGTGAAAACGAACCTTATTCTTGAACTATTAGTAGTTATAAAATATAGCACTTGTTCTACTTCACAGTGTTATGTGATTACCGTTTATAAAAATATCACTAAAACACTTTCGAAAGTAGACCCCAATACGTAAGTCAAACAATATATAAAGACGATTTTAGTATTGAATAAATCGAGAATTATTATATTATTATATTGAAGGTCGCGTGAAAGTGCCATGCATTACTTACAGTATGAAGTGTTAAATCCTTAAGTCACTTCACCAATAACACTTTTATAAACATCTTGCGTTAGCGCGGTCGGGAAGCCGCGAGTACACTGAGCATTGAACAGAACTGAGGTCGCCACCACTCACTTTACTTACTCAGTATTGGCAGTCTACTAATGAGTTTCTAGATTTGGCAGTTACTGTTTTTGGAGTTTTCTTTTAAGGAAGTTCAGTTTTTATTTGTGTACGGATTAGAGTGTGGATTTGATGATTTGACAGTTTCATAAAATATTATTTTATCCATAGCATAAAAGTTTTAAGGCTTACAAAATTAATCTTATATTCAGTAGAATAACGTAAAGATGTAAGTTATAGCGGTAATATAATCTACTAGGCTAAAAAAATTATAAAAACATTACGAATCTTCGAAAAAGTCAATAGTATGGTATGGTCAAAGCTAATAAGGCTTTTAAATAAACACTAATGGTTTGCTATGATAATATTTTTTGACGAATTTTTTGATGCGGTAACAAGTTTTTTTTACTTCGTAAAAAGTATATCAAAGAAAAATAACAAATGTTTATTTAATATAAAACAATATTCATTATTCTCCTTATAAAGCTCATAAAAATTGAGACGCCACGACGGATAAAATAAAAATGCTTGTCATATACAATATATATTAATAAATTAATACAAATAACAAAGCTGATATCATTATTTAACATCTATTGTCACAGGTATGCGTCTCTGAAGCGCACGGTGCTTCGTCGAGGAGGCAAGTCTTCATCACTATCAAGAGCTGGTTCATAACCTTTGTTGACGTAAGCACCAGACGGACGGCCAGACAACGACATGTTCAACTGAGAACAAAAATACTTCATAAATATATCGATTAAGAAAATTACACGTTACTTAATAATTCTTATAGGTTAATTTTGTTAAAGTGAAATTTTCTAGGCATTACTAACTTTTCTTTATTTAGGAAACAAAACAAAGAAAATGTATGTACGATATAAAATTCAATACTTCATGCGTGGGTATTAAGATTACGATACCATTTATATCTATGATTTCCATTGCTTGAAAGTGACTGAGATCTCCTTTGTTCGCGTATTGTTGGACTTTTTTATTTATTCACAATCATTTGTTTTGAATACCTGAGTCAGAGTGTATCATACATACTCAGACCCGTAGGTCTACACACACATTTATTCGCAGATTAGCACACACACACACTCACACACACACACACACACATACACACTTTTACTCACCGCGCTCATGGGTTCATCGTATATATATCCAGTAGACTCTCTGCCAAGCTGGGATCGTCTTTTTTCAGCTAGCACGGAGTCGCGGCGCGTCATTAGTGCACGGAACGTAGCTCGACGAGATGACGGACTACCGCCGAGAGATGGAAGGCGGGATGCTGTGTCTATAGAATTAAATAATTAGTTGAAATCATATTGATACTGATATTTTAAACCTGAAAAATGTATGTAGTTATAGGTTGATTCCACAAATTCTTAAAGATTTTGATATTTCATAGGAAATAAAATATATTTCAATTTCATTACAAATTCTAAAATCGGTTCATTTGTGGACTATGTCCATGTTTCGTCTATAAAAACGTATGTAAAATATTTATAAAGAACGTCATATAAACAATACATTTTTGTAGTATACATATAACTTTCAAAATTTTATATAAAAAGAGGAAAGAAAATGATAAAAGATTTAAAATATAAAAATTACCTGGATCAGCATTCTGTAAAATAGTGAGTCTCCTTTTGAAGTTAGCATCCAAATTTATTACGGTGTGCTTATTTTCTCTTGATTTTTCTAAGTTATGTAGCGTTTTTCGGCGTTTTACATCACTATTGTCTACACCTTTCTGTTCAATATCGTCTACGTTTAATTTCTGAAGATCCTTGGCTATTTCTACAGCTCGTCTCTCGAATTGAGCGTCATCTGTCACTTCATCAGCCTGCAACAAAATATTAACTTGCAACGAGTTCATAAACACTTTTAATTATATCTTCATAATCAAAAATAGAAATGTGTTTGATGTAATAATAGGCTATTCATATAAAAGGAATTTATTTCTTTGTAGTTGCGAACTAAAATTTCATCAATCGTTAAGGAACTTTTATGGGCTCATGGGCTCTTAATCATTAAACAAAAGTAGCCTAGAAATATCCAAGAAATTTGGGTTTAAATTTCATTAACTCACCTGTTTTGTGAAATACCAGTTTAGTTGGACGGTAGACAATAAATGAGTCAGTGTTCCGAATCTGTGGAACAGCATGCCAGCGAATTGTACTATTAGCACAGAACCGAATAGGATCAAGAATATCGATCCAATAGGCTCTAAGAGAAGAAAGTCCTGTTCTATCAGTACCTGATAATGATAAAACATTAATTAATAAACCTCTAAAAAAAGTATCATTATCTCATTTTAACGAGTAATATTGATATGATTATAGTACAAATATCAAAAACAAAGTATTTATGGGAAACCGAAATAGAATGGATTTTGTTTCCTATAATTTGTTTTGTAAACATAGGTCTCTCTATAGTATGCCACAGAATTGGATCAGCTCTTATGATAAAATCAGTCCCCGCCAAAATAATAATATCACGTCCCACCTAGCTATAGGGCGTAAGTAAAAGCCATAAACTCTTACCAAATTATTTTTGTTGTCATACTCAATTTTAACCTTCTGACCAAATGGCCACTGGAGATGCAACACATCCTGTCTCAATTGTAAGAGGAAAATTAGAAGAACGAACAAAGCATTAATCATAAAAAACGCAAACACCATGGTGTCGCGAAGATTTTTCAAATCAGTTGCAATACGTTCCTGAAATTAATAGTAGTTTAAAAAAATTATGCTTACGTAATTATTAATTGGAAAAGCAGTTTTTTTTTAATCCATATTTTACTTATTTATTTTTGTTTACCTTTTCTTCTTTATTTTCATCGATAGGTCTTAAATATACGTCAATCAAATCTTTCCAGAATTCAGTTTCAGCTGTTGTTAGAAAGTCTACTTCTCCTTTTTGCAATGTTGGGTCCTCGATCCAATATGGGTTGATTAAATCATCTCTTTCCTCCTAAAACCAGTATTAATTTAGAATTTAACAAGTTATGAAACGAATACAAGTGATCAAAATCTTAAAGAAATGTATGACAATCTACTTTTGAAATCAAATTTCATGGAAAACGAATAATTCCTGAATCACAAGTACTGACCAATGCTAGAAGAAAAAGTGAACAATGGAAGAATAAAATACAAAATGCCCTATCCCTTTTCCCACCATTTTTATTCCTCCCATACTCCCACAAATTCCCCCTCTTCCCCAATAAAAGGTGGTAACACATCAGCAAATCGATGTTATGGATGTCCATGGGCGACCGTACTACCTCAATCTATTAGGCCGTCTGCTCAGTAGCTCTCTATAGCATAAAAAAGATATTTAAAACCCACCCGCGGTATTTCTGTGGAGTCTTCACTATCTTCATACTCCGGTAGCGCGGACAGTGTATCACCACGAAGACCCATAGAACTGCGACGACGTGGAATCTTTTCTGGCTCTTGACTAGCACCACTGAATTTAAATGGGAATTTGATTATTTTGACATATGCAAGAATGTGGTTTGGTTTTATACTTCAGAACATGCAAGAGGAATCAACTAGAAATTCTTCGAACAATACTGTTAACTGGTGATTATATTAAATTCAGAAATTATACATAGCTTATGTTTAGCTCAAATTCTCAATATTTTATAGAAAAACATATCTAATATAAACGAACAAAAAATATATATTTATGCTATAGTAATATAAATATAACAAAATCATTATAAAGTTGTAATAAATTCATTATAATAATTTTGTTACATTTGAAGCAGCCTTACATTTGAATTTTAATTAATTTATGGATTCACTCCTTAGTTCCAAAAATTATTACTTTGTATTCGAAATGGTCTTTGTTTTAAATCGATTTTTTTAAGAAGAAACATACGAAAAACTTCTATATTTTAATCAAAACTTACAGTGAGTCCAATCTCTTTTCAATTTTTTCCAAGTTGTGTGATATTTGCAGCAGATGCAAATCTTCCTTATGATCCTTAGGGTTAGTGCAGAGAAAACATTTGAACAGCCCAGCTATACTGAACTCTAATGAACCAGATGTCTCTTCGGATTTACCAAACCATCTAGACAGAATGTTGGTGTCAATTTTCTTTTTCACCTCTTCCACTGTTTTCTTATCCATTTCCATTTCCTATAATTTATCACCGTATTAGTAATTACTATCGATTTTTTATTAAAAAACTGTAATTTATTATTTACCTTAAGTGTTTTCTTCTGAACAACCTCACGAGTACCCCAGGTTACATTGTTAAGGTTGCAAAGCGAATATATAATAAGCAACATGTACATACTAGGTATAGTTATATAGTATATGAGGATGTACATCAAACACGAGAACTCTTGGGGATGCAGAGCTGCTGTTATAAAGAATACTGCGATAGTTAATACGAAGAACATACTAGAAGGAGCGAACCAACCATCCTCAACTATCTGAAGCGCTATACCCACTATCACCATTAACATGATCATCGCGTACATACATGTTATTAGATTAGCCAATTGCAACTAAAAAGAAATAATATATATAATATAAGGCAATTTTTACAATATAACTAAATAACTTCAAAATCTCTATTCACCTGAAATTCGGATTTACATGTCATACAAACTATTAAAAATATAGATACGGGAACCAGATTTACTAATAGAGCATTTGTGTTACTTAAACCAGTAATGGCGTTCATAGCTCCAATCATCATGAGAAAGATTGTCCCAGGACCTAATATGGTAATCGCCATTAACATACTCTGAAATTAGGCAAAAAAATTAATATGGATCAGGACAACAATATAAAAATCTAATTCAAAATTCTAATGCAGTAAACAGTGACTGTATAACTTTGTGAGTGAGTTTTATGTATAACAAAAAAATATACTAATCATTTAAATGAAACGAATATTTTTCGGATATACTACGCGGTTTACTTTTGTAACTAATTACATACTCCCTACGTACTACATAGTCCCTGGAAGTATGTACATAGTTTTTACAAAAAAAAAACCGCGCAATATATCCGAAAAGTTGATTCATTTAAATGAATAAAACTCGCGAAAGTCTTAGATCTCATAATATATAATATTTCACCTGATAGAGAATATACAGAGTTGATATATTGTCGTTAACTTCCACAGTTCTCTTGGAGTCTGCGAGCAGATCGAATATATTGGCCATAGTTGAGGGGACCCATCGACGACGCTGATTGAAGAATTCATCGAAACGCTCGGGACAATGTGTATAGGCATCGGAGGCTGCGCTATAACCGACGCCATAACCACGCTGCAGAAGCAATGTGCATAGCCAACGGTCCTCGCCTACAGATAAACCGTATTAAACGCTGTTTGATTCATGGTACATGTATATTACAATATTGTAAGATTACAAGATTATATAATCTTCTTTAGAACTCTTAAGATTATCGTAGCGAAAACATTTGAATAACTAGACATAGACTTTTGTGCTTTTCAGTAAGTTTTATCTCATAAATGAAATTTGGAATTTCTGGATCTTTGATCTTTTTTGATCCAATTAATTTAATGTTACTAAGTTATGTTTTTCATCCAAAAGTGTTATTTGGGAAATACAGTTTTGACATTAGTTTTTGGGGCTATAGAAAGGGCCAACGACGATTACTTAATTCTTTGAATATAATAAGAAAACACCATATATCCAACCTTGATCGAATTGTACATAATGGCGCGCTTCGCTTGATGTTGTTGTATATTTTCTCATAACGTTGTCATCCATGATAGCTTTTCCTCTGAACAAAGAGAAGCATCCGGGACTACAAAGTACGCAGCCTATCACATGTTCAGTCGCCTTTTGCAGCCAATGACCAATTGCATATTCAAAAATTTGGTACCAAGACATAAAACCTGAAAAACAATAGGGCCCTTACTTAGCTTTAAGTTAAAAATGGTTTTTTATAAGTAACTAAAGTGAGATATTATTAATACATATTTTGTATATATTCGCTAGGAGTAGCCGGACCTTAAGATTTTTGCTAATGTTTCTTGCTTCCGAATATATTTTTCACGATTTCAAAAAGGAACGGACAAAACATATGTATTTTTATAAAATATTAAATTTCATGAGAGGAAATCATCACAACAGCTTTCACCAATGGTTAGAAGTAAAACATTCTTATAAGATTGTAACAATCCATTAAGCTACTTTGAAATAAATTTTAATCATCATATATTTAAATTCCAGAAATTGATAACACGTTGATTGGTGAGTGATTGCTCTGATTAGTGATAAGAAAATACTATGGAAACAGTATTTTAAATTTCTATGTTATTTTGTATTATTTTACTGCGTATAAAAAGGGTCTGCTTATTTACGGTTCTATTTTATACTATATAGGATCAAACTTAGGTTCTGTCTTTCGCAATTTTTAAACGGTAGCAAAAAAACAATGCTAAAGAAGTTTGAAATCGGTTGCATCCTTAAATAAACTCTCTTATTAAGACGGTTTCTGTTGCATATTTAGAAGATCAAAGTATGTCGAAGGAGGCTGAAGTTATGGTGCCTTACCTCAAATTGATAAATTAAACATTTTAAATATTTTAACGACCATATCCGTTTGAATTTTAATTCGTATATTGAGCTTGACATCTCTTAAATGTTAATCAAATGTGAGTTTACTAATAAACTGATCAATTTTAAATATTTATGGTCACACATTTAATCCAGGTCAACAGGTCAAAGAAGTAGTTTTAATGTCATTAGGTAACAAGAGAAGGACTTTTAAACTTTTTCTGAATTTAATCCGGAGTTATGAAGAAGTAACGCGATAATTGATACCCAAAAACTATCGTATCTATGAAACATGTATGTATTTTAATTTAAACTTATAGCATTAACACGTACCTGACCCAACTGGATGAATTCTGCCACAAGCAGCGCCAAGATTGTGATCCTTTTTCATGAGATCTATCAATAGAGAGACCGCACATGGTTTGAAGTCGATATCTCCATCCAATGCCAGTAAATACGTATTTTCCGCTAAAACTTCCTTACGATCCACTGATAGAGGCAAATCCATCAAGCGATGTCCCAGGAAGTAATACATGTACATCACCTATGTACATATTTATAAATTAATATATTATTATACAATTATCTACAAATCTCGCCTATATTAATAAGACTATATAATTTTTTACAACTGTTTGCGCAATCCATTCAAATCGATTTATGTGTAAGTGCATGTGTATGCCTCTTTTTAAAAGAATGGCAACGATATATTTTAATTGGTATCTATTAAAGGACCTAAAGTAACACTTCATTATGGAGCATGCTATTTGGGGCCAAGACCAATGAAAATCTGTTACCGTTATTAAGGTTAAGGTAAAGTTTGAAGAGGAATTATTGTAAATTATTGATATGTTATCAGGAAATACTTATACGAATGGAACACTTATGATAATTTTGCAAATATAAGAGATATTGTCATCATTCTGGTTTGCAAGAATTTTCGAATTGTAATTTGCCAGAATAAATGTAGACCAAAATTGTATTTGCACAAATGTTTTGAGAAATTAACATAAGCATTCAATTCAATTCACATATTAGTAGAAACAAATTTTAATTTTCTCGCAAATATTCCTCACCTGCGACCATCTTTTTCTATGACGAATCTTAGATTTATCTTTCAAATGGCATATCATCTTATTTTTTCCAGGCAAAGTCCATTCTAATCTACCTCCGTATGGCGTCGGGAATTTTTTGGGTGGCCGTAATCTTATATTAGCTAAATGAACTTCCGAGGCCGCTTCATCAATCACATCTACTAGGCATTTAACAAATCGATTGACTTGAGAATCTTCCGAGCTATGGTCAGATACTTCAAATGCGTCATCCATGAATATGTTTGCTGTGTAATAAGACAAAAATTTCTATTTTAAATTGCATTTATATATAATCAGATATTGATATTAAACTGGCTAAATAAAAAGAAACTTATAATATTTATAGATAACGTTGCAAGTAGGTACTTCTCATATTTACCAAAGATTTTCAGTGAAATATTTTGTGCAAATGAATGACATCACACTTAATGATGATAATTAATTTTAACTAGAATGAGTTTAAATCCTTACAAAAAAAAACTGAAGTTCATGATATTTCCAGATAAATTCGTTATAAGAAATATTAATTTAAAGAAAATAATAAATTCGATAAAAATAAAATTATATTAAAGAGCTTATTTTTTTATAAAATTTTATAAATATTACGTTATACATTAATATAATATGCAAATTTTGTTTTGTAAGGCTTTTATCTTTTTAGATAATCCAGGAACTTTCTTTCAGTTTTGATAAAATAAAATTTAAAAACAATGTTTCGGCACACTAAATTTCTCACTCTTCGCCATTCGACGTTCAAAAATGTAACTTTTAAAATTGTATATAATATACAACATTTAGTTGACAAGAAACTATCCTTATATATTATAACGACAACAAATAAAATACATGAATGAATATTAATGAAGCCATAAAAAATACATGAAAAATACATAGAAATAACGCAAGTCAGACTATGGATATGTATGTTTAGGGAATATATATGTTATAAGTTATACCTTACCTTCAAGTTCGTAATAATCAGGGTCAACAATGCCCAGATATTTCTGAGCCACACGACGTGCGCTTTGGTCTTCATCCAGCCTCATTATAGATTTCAAGAACTCTATCATTTCCTCTTTCGTTTCATGCCACATTGTTGCGCAGATGAAGATCCTATAATAAAAATATTGGAAATAGTAATGTAATACATTACAAGCAATAAGTAATTTAAAAAATGACGGCTTGAACCTTGATATGGAATCCGATGGTTTGATATCTTTTGATACGATCTGCGAACTGCCAATAGATGTCCTACTGCCTCCGTCATAATCATCCATTTCCTGAAAAAAAAATCGTAATATTATTTTATCTACATGTGTAAACACTATTTTTCCAAATTAGAAATTATTTTATATTTCCAATCTTTATATGAGAATTGCTCGAATTATTTTATTTATATTTTATGAAATCTCACATCGCCAAGTACATCCTGCTCGTCCTTGGTTCTGGTCAGTAAGAGAGACTGATCAATCAACGGCCCACAGTACCAAGGCCGTTGGAACAACTTATCAGTCGCAGCGAGACGCTCACAACGTGGCACCCAGCAATGCATCGTCACCCAAGCCTGGGAGATCAACCAGAGCAACCATATCCACGTCATTTCTCGTCCTATGTAGTCCTTTAAGAAATATACTGAAAAAATAAACTACTTTAGTAACATAAAATCTTTTCTATGAATTCCATAACATTTATCGCGTACCTGGAGGTATTTCGAAGAACAAATTTTCAGGTATGAACGAACGGAATGCACATGGATTAGCATTTTGGATACCGCAGAAGTATATCAGCAGATTAACGGTAACGGGTCCGACTAGATTGAGCGCGAACGTAAAACTGAACTTCTGAATAAGAATTTTGCAGGCAAACTTCCCACAGATGTAGGTATAATACGCTGCTACAGCTTGGATTAAAACTACCCACAGTGATGCATTCGAACTTGCGTCTAGTTCAAAACTACCTCCCGACATTTGATACTCTATCGAACCTTTATATAAATCTTGTAATATCGTTTGAATCTAGAAAAAAAACGATTTAGTTATTCTTAAAATAGGCTTTCTTCAAGATAAAAGCATATTTTATGATAGTCACTTTAGTATAACGGTAATTACTTTCACACCATTACATCATTTTTTTATTTTACATATTAATTTTTTAAAATCTTACTTCGTATACGGTGTAATTTCGTACTCCAAAGGCATCAGTCGCATGAGTGAAAAACGTTAAGGGATCGTCATCCTGAACTAATAATGAAATCAGTATGCAGACCATAAAAATGAAGATTTTCCAAAGGGTTAAAAACATTTGGGTGTAATAGCGTGATTTTTTAATACCATCGCGTAATTCGTACAAATACATCATAGCAGCTGTAAACGAAAAATAAAAATATTATTACAGCATGAAAATATTATTACAGAATACTAATAATATATTATTATTTTTGAATACCTGAATTGTGTCTTCCCCAATAAGAAACAAAATTTTCCCACCAGCCTAAGGAAATAAATATACATGCAACTGAAATACACCACAGAACTGGGCTGCCATCAAGAAGAGGCCATACCACAAAGGCGGTGGCTTGAGCAGATATTGCCAAAACATCAATCACTAGCATTATAGGATATCGAGGTTGATTCTGGTCTCTACTGAATGCATTTAATACAGCTGGTACTATGCATACAGCGTTCATTAACATAGCTCCTTTTACGACATCCAGTTCTGGCAACACTATCAATAATAGTATAGCTAATCCAATAGTGCTTAAGGTCTCAATGAGCAAAGCCTAGAAAAAAAAAACAATGGGTTAACTAGCATTACCTCTATGATATTATGATATAAACAAATTCTGTATTATTATTACGTCACAGTTCATTTGTTGTATAATTGGTTTATTTATTAATTACTAACTTACCATTAAAAAGTGTGGACGACATGGTTTTACGATTGTTTTAAAGAAACAAATCCTAGCACTCCTTAGGAACAAGCCTAACTCGGGAATACCAAAAAAAAGGAGCATTGCCCACAACCACGCTATACGCTCGTCTAGAGGATGAATTGTTATAAACTGTTGATCCAAAGCTGATAATAGAGAATAGAAAATAAACTATTATTATGTAAAATAATACAAAAATTTATATTTCTCATTATTATTTCTTTACCTAAAGCTCTGTTGCAGTGGGTGATATGTCGTCCTTTTTTTAGCTGTGAACTTGTAAAAAGTACCAAGCCTTTTGCAATAACAGAACCGCCAAGAACACTGGCAAAAATAAAGATGTATGCAAAAACTTTAAGAAGTTTCACGCTGTTATCGATCCAAACAGTGGATACCATTGAACCACTTTCCTTCTTCACCGGCACCTCTCGAAATAGATTCCATCCTTTTGCTTCTTGTGCTGTTCTTTGACTGTTAAAACAATAATAGAAATTCCATAATCATTTTTCCATTACAAAACCCTAGTCATAAAATAGCATACATTTTACATTAAGAAAAAGAAGTATGTTTTTTTGCTATCGAACAACCCTTTCTATTATACCTACACAAAAAATTATGTCATAAAATTTTTATTGCCCAACATTTCAGTCTAATATAAAATATATGGAAACTATATAGAATAAATTACATCACTGATTATTATTTGAAGTGTATTATAGTGAAAGCACTTAGTAATAGAAAAGTATATTACAAAAAAACATTTGTGAACTATGGAATTGTATGTAATACATTTATGTTCAGAAAAATGGATCAAAGATCATACTCTAAATCATCAGTATCATCAAACAGCGGCTGGAACTCCGCGTCAGACTGATCACTGTCATCAGGAAGTCCTTTAAATCCTCCACTGGATTTGGCCATCACTCTGTGAATATTTAACACACTATATTTATCCACACACAGCATACGTGCGATTTATAAAGACATTGTTTTTTTTCTTTCCTATATCCGTTATATCGATTGATGTATGAGATTCTTATATCGATTTTTAATATAATAAAATATCGACGAATCTATTCGAGGCCGAATACAGGATGCAGTTTAAATAATACAAGAGATTTTCTGTTTATTCGTTTTAATTTTTTATTCAAGTTAAATTAAATATAATACTTCAAATACTTAAATCTGAATCCATGCAGTCTTTCAAAGAATAAATTTAAAAATGGAACCATCTAGAAGATATGAAACATCACAAATATTTTTAACAGATCGCGCAAAACATTGTACAATTGGCTTATTGATACAATTATAGTTGTCTTCACATCAAAACATACAACTAGTATGTGCCCTATTATAAATACTATACTATTATATACCAGTTATAAAAAAACGAAGTACATAATTCAAAATAAAATAAAAAATATTGAATACTTGTCACAGTACATCCACATTAATAAAATAATTTTAATAAATAGAAAATTGTTATAATAAGTAAATTAGCATACTACTTACTATACGCTTACAATAATATCTTTAATAAATATTCTTCAAATCATTGATACTCGCAATGATATTAAATGTTTAAAAAAAACATAGACAAATGACATACCTTTTAAGCGGTAAATCACAAAATCAACATCACTAATAGAATCACAATAAAAACTTTTTAAATTCAAGTCAGCTTATTTTACGTGTTTGCACAAAGACACAATGCCGATATAAAAATAAATAATTATTGTTATTCAGTTATAGCGTCATTATAATTATTATCACTGATTAGCCTATCAGTGTTTATCAATAATTCCTTATCGGCGACCGTGATTTCTCCATTACAAAAGGAAGCGATACTTAAAATATATTATTATCTAGTTATTATTTTCTTTTAAAAGTAATTTTTCACTGATATAATCTAGCGTGAGTCGCAAATAACAAACAGATGTCATAATTGGAATTTAAACATGAACAACACTTTTCGGACTTTAATTTAAAAAGTTTTTAACGTGCTGTACATTTATTAGATACATATAAGTAATACCAAACACATATAACTAGAGAGAATTTTCAATTAATAAGTCAGATCATTAATTTTCTGTTTCGTTGCTTGTATTTTTTGAAGTTGAATAATCTTGACCAGTTGAGTAGTCCATGGCATCTTCCATTTTATTGAAATTTCCCATCGCAACTTGGGCTATAGTGTCAGCTATGCTTGCGGCGCTGGAGTATGAAAGGGATGTAGGAGTTAGCTTTTGGACATCTTCATCCATCTTCCGCGGCTGGCTGTAGTCGGCCGGATAGTCAGGAATCGTCGTCTTTTTAGTCAATTCCAACATTTGATTCAAAAACGGATCTCCCCCCACCCTTGGTGACGAACAAATTTGAGGGTATTCTGGTAGTTGAGATTCAGATAAAACTGACTTAGAAGTCTCTGATTTAGATGAGCTCACGTCCGGGTGTTTTATGGAATCGTGGGAACTACTTTTTGATTTACTGATACTACCAAAATCAGGGGGCAGATAGTCCTTAGATGGTTTAATGAGGTCGTGGGGGCTTTTCATTAACATATTCTGATCGAGACCAACTTTAGAAGGGATCGGACTACTACTTGACAAAGGCTTCATTAATGACTCTTGCATTTTAAGCAAAGATGGCGACAAAAACATGTTATTAGCAGCCAGAGTGGATTTCGACATCGGATCTGGTATTCCTAATATACCAGCGCTAGAATACTTACTAGCTGAAAATAATGCATTCGCTATATCAGCTGAACTCATCATAAGGTTAGAGGCGATGCTAGCTGGTATAGGGGCGACAGAAGTTGTACAGCTTGTTGAAGTCGTGGTTGAAGTTTTTTCATAATTAACCATACTGTTTGATAGATTTTGCAAAGAGGCAGCGTATGAAGGCAAATCCGGGAGTTTGCTTGAAGATAATGTGGATGCTAAATTCGAAGATAATGCTGGATTAAAACCTGTTAGCATACTGTTAGCAGCAGCTAGACTCTCTAGACCTGGTGTACCTAGAGGTAATGGCATATTCGCAGATCCAAGTCCTAAAGCCATACTAGTTAACATATCCAATCCAGTTGGATACGTAGGGGGAAGGGAAGGAGTCGTCGATTTAGAAAGTTTAGACGATGTCGGTAAAACGGGTATGTTAAGTGGCGGCGTCTCAAATTTATGAGGAGAAACTGAGCCTATAGCGGAAGAAACATTGATTGGTGGCACCCCAGCCGGTCTACTGACCATCTGTTGCAGTGTGCTAACTGATGGGAAGTTAGGTATTGAAGTAACTTGAGGCTTGGATGCGGGAATCGGTTGTGGAACAGCCAACAGCGCATCTAAATCCATCTTATCATCATTTTCTGAAGAACAACCTAACTCATCCCTTATAAAATGCCATAATAAACCATCGCTTTGCTCGCGCGGAAATTTCGGAGTGAGGGTGCATTTTAATTTATCCAAATAAGTGATATCAGGTTTAAAGTTGTCCTTGAAACTGACTAGCGAATCGTCTGCGAATGTTCCATAGTATTTTATGCTTTTCTTTATCTGTTCCATAGCGTGAGTTGATAAATGTGTATCGTGAATCATATTGTATTGCAAAAGAAGAGGTTTCGGGTATTCTGTAGGTCTCTGCTCTGGGGGCGGCATAACCCAGAAAAATGTTAATGATGATTCCAATACAGGACTCTCTGGATTGTATGGTGCTGAAATTTATAATTATTATATTGATACAAAGCATACACATATTGTAATTTTAAATCATATACTCTAGCAGTATAATACATTTTTTGAAGATTATGAGAGCAACTTACAACAAATAACTCCAATACAAGGTATGTACGATATTTCCGTAGGGCCTCTCATTTTTATCTGGTATTCAAGTTGATTATCACAGTCCCTAAGACTGGGCATGGCCGGGTTTGTTGGGTGGGAGTGGTACCAGCCTAATAAAGAGAGCCCTAACTTTTCAATTTCCATTTGTATTTCCAACTCAACTAAAACCCTTGGTCTTGAGTCATTTTTGCTTATCAAGCATGGGAATGTATGAGTGATTGAGACATCTGTAAATTAAAAGTCGAAATATAAATTTCTAGAAATTGTTCCAGGAAACATTTCAAAATTTCTATTTTTTTTGGAAAAATTTGTTATATAATCTATTAGAATTGTTTCGCCTATTTACATTTATACAAATAGTTCTGCTATTTACTCTTTTTAGTGAAATAATTCACTTTTATAATATTTTTAATATACTAAAATCATAAATTCAACATGACACAAAAAAATTAATTCAATACTTATAACAATTTGATGTCCTGTGCATCAAATAAGAGTCTTTATTTATATTTTTTTACGTGTATTGCTGATAGCCCTGCTTTTACACCATCACCGGAAAAGAAGTGTGTCTTTAAATTACTTTCAATGAATTTTATGCTTTCAAATTTGTTAATGCCACTATAATCATGACATTTAGAAATACATACATATATGCATCAGGCAACAAAAACTTACTATGGTTATTTAGATCCCAGGTACCAGCCAAATAGCCATAAACCTCTTCCTTTTTCAAATGGCAATGAATATCTAGAATAAGAAGTGCATTGGAGTTAACTGATACTAAAAACGGTTGAACCTTTCCCGCTGATGAGAATGACACAGCTTCTATCAACATGTTTGCATCACTGAAAGTTAAATTGTATTACCAATTAATATATAAAATTATTAATTAACATATAAAATTATTAATATTATTAAACTGCTGTTAGTTCCTTACTGTTGCATCATTCTATTGGGAACAGTATTATGTTTCATCACAATCCGCTGTGGGGGAGGCTCAGGAGGACTTTCAACCTCCATTTCTGTTTCTTCTGAAAATAGCAAAAACAAAGATGATAAAGCAAAATTGAAATTATACCAGACATTAACTATATATTTGAATATTTTTACTTAAACATAGTCAGGAAAAACTAGAGTGAAGAAATTAATAATAGAAGAAATTAGACACTTGCTAATTGGAAAATAATTTTACACAATGAAATAGAAATACAATAAATATTTTCAAGAACAATAACTTTTAAATACATATGTGGTCAGCAAAAACTTAATAATAATTATATGGCACTTTTACTTTTAGACACATTATTATATAAACAAATTAATTAATTAATTACCATCACTATGCATATTCTCTCTCTGTAATTGTTTCCTTCTTAAATAAGTAGCTTTAATGGTATCCAATTTTTTGCCTCTGTATTTCACTGATGCCCACCCGCATCCCGATCTTTTATCAGGGTTTATAATTCTCTTGCAGTGAATGGCCCAAGCCGACGGTGAACAGAATATTGTTTCTGTTTCATGTGACTTTATTTTTCCATCTGCTTGTAGATCACCAACAAATTTTTGGCCCTTTAACATAGAAGTACTTAATGCAACATCTTATTTATAATTTGAGGTTTATCAATTATTCCATACCAAAATACTGATTTTTTTATCTATTTTAATTCTAGACTTATGTTTTTTCAATTCTTGCCTCTTGGTGGGACAACCAAGTTTCATATGATATTAAATAGCTTCAACCAGTGAAAGTTCTATTAAAAATGAAAAAAAAAACAATAAATCAAAAAAATTACACAAAATTTCCATTATCTTGCTGAACTTCTAGAAAATATGACACTTAAATTATTAACATGGTATAATCCTTTAATAATAATATACATAGAGAATAGTTATGATTGTTTCATTGTATTACCAAATATTCTATTGTCATAGCAGCATGTCCTGGTTCTAACATTTTCTCTTCCAAAAGCATTTGTAAAGTAACACCTCTTCCTGGCATACATTTGTTTTCAGGTTGCGCTTCTGACTCCTTTAAGAAGCAAATCAATATAGCTAATTAAAAACCATAACTTATTTATATTGCTCTTAGAGTATCATAGATGATGAAACACATTATTTTGTACAAATTTAAGCCTTTACATATTTGTCTTTTTAATAACAAAAATATCATGAAGAAATGTCATTAAGGATGTAAATCATAATACCTCATCAGAGAACTCTTCGCCACTGCCTATTTCCTCTTTCTCTTCGTATGTGGTTTGTTTTGCTGGTTCACTAACCGCTGGTGCCGGATCATTTTGCATAGGTTCATCTTTATCGTTGATGGTAGGAGCTATAACAGCCCCAGGTTGCTCATTGTTAAATGAATTGTTATTAGACATCAATGCAGCTGCCAAATGCGATGTTTGTAAATCCATTATAGACGCTGGTTATAACTTAAAAGTGTTTTAATGACTATTACATATTACAGAAAATTTTATTTTATACTTTGCTATACAGTTAACTGTTTTAATTAATGACTTAAAATTATATTTTCACGAGAAAATACAAACATATAAACCTATTGTTAATTCTGGCATCTGGTGTCAATTCTGAGTACTCATCTGTCAAACATACATTTTAATTTTTTTTCTTCCTAAATACATAAAACTTTTCTATACTGCCTCTTTACCATCGCTATTTAAAAATAATAGCAAGACGATATTATAAGTGATTTGTAATTTATTACTTCCATAACTGTTAACAATCACCTCATGGGAAAAAAGTTTTGGAAATGTTTAAAGACAAAATTCCTTTATGAATTTATAAACACAAATAAAAAATCTTTATGCGGTGTTCAAATTTTCCGCCTATGAAATAAAAACTTTCAAATATCGATTATTGAAGTGATTCCTATTTCATTCTTTATTTTAATTAAAATTATAAGTAAAATTTCAGGGAATAAATTTTTGTGTGATTATTTGCATGCAACAGTGGTAAAAAAGGAGTTTGCTTACAATTTTTGTAAAATTTAATTAATTTCATTTTAACTATATTTAGTACATATCCAAACATTAGGTTTTCATGTTATGGTTATTTTTAATTTCTTATCGATATCAACTAATAATATAAAAACGATATAAAATGTAATTTATAATTAATTAAAGTACTTAAGTATATTTAAAGCAATCTATATGTATTTATTTTATTAATAATAAATGTATAGCAAACTTTGACCAAATATTTTAATTTGCCTCAAAATATATTACTCGATTTAAATTGTCTAGTCCAATGAAATCGATTGCAAAAGTGAAAAGTGAAAACTATATTTCTAGACTCTAGTACTCGGTTACTTGGATAGTATTAACATTTTATTGAAATGTATTTTTATTTTTTAAACTTGACCCTGATGAAAGGACAGTAAAATCAGTCAAAGCCCGAGGTCAGTGTTCTGACTTCTGACTTTTGTGAAGATGTTTCTAATTGCTTTTCTCAGTGAATTATAAATCGGTTTTTGTATTGTACTGTAGAGAATAAAATAATAGTCATTAATAGTTAAATTGAGTGTTACTCTTTAGAACATAATTAAATAAATTTGTTTTTAACGAATCTTGTTATTATGGCTATTGTAAAAACTCCGGTACTCAAAGTGATTTTATGCGGCGAATATGGTGTGGGCAAAAGCTCAATATTTCGACGATTTATTAACAATACATTTTTACCAAATTCTGATAGAAGGTCTACATTAGGATTAGATCATTTCGAAAAACTTTATCATGTTGGGGACAAAGATGTCAAGGTTAGTGTTTATTTGATTATAAATAGTAAACTAAAACTTAATTAGATTTTGTTAACATAAATGTACAATATTTAGTTGCAGCTATGGGACACTGGTGGTATGGAGAGGATAGCTTCAGTTACTTCAAGTTATTATAAATATGCCGAGGCAGCTGTGTTAGTTTTTTCTTTAGATAATGCCTCATCGTTCCATGTACTCAGCCAACATCTTCTAGATATAGTTACATATGCTGAGAATGCCAAAATATTCTTATGTGGTAATAAATCAGATTTAGAAGGATTGTGTCCTCAAGTAACAGATGCTGATATAGAAAACTTTTGGTAATATTTCATTCATAAAAATTGTATACAGAAATGCTTTTTTATATGTAGATGTTAAGAATATATCAATTATAAGAAAATACTGCTTGTATTTCAGTGAGCAGTGTCACAATTTGATAAGCAGTACATATAAGACATCATGTAAAAGTGGGAAAGGCCTGGATGAGATGTTCTCGGACATAGCACATCAGCTGGTTGAGTCAAATAGATCCAGGATCGAGCTACAGAGACTTGACCACAACAGCTTCAAAATAACCCATCCCGAACCCCCCGATGAACCGCCGTGTAGCTGTTGATTACATTTATACATTCATATAATAATTATCGTTATTTTGTAGTGCTGAATTATTACAGTAATTATTTTTTAAGTGTCAATGTTCAAGCTTTTTTGTTTATCACCTTTGAACGGAGATGAATCTTAATAATTTATTTGTAACCAATTTTTCAGTCCGGAATATGGCATTGGATTCAATAATAGTAATTGCATTTTATTACTTTATTGACAATAATTTTAATATATGTCACATTAAATTATTTTCTTATAAATATTGTGTGATTGTGGAATTTTTTTGTTTATGATTATGTGACAATGTCCTGTATAACGGGTTGTGTTGAATTAGTTACTACATTAATTAACTTCTCATTAAAAAATAATGCCTCTTAACCTCATATTCTCTTTATTTAACATTAATAATGAAACACTAACTCAGGCCTAATCTGTATTATTGATAAGTCTTGTATTTAAAATGAGTCTTACTGCTATGATAAAGTACTTGTTACCATGTCTTTGTTATTAAATAAAACTGTATAACTTTTGAAATAGCACAAGTCTTTCTTCAAATAATATTTTGTTCCATTCCAAATGTATCAAAATTAATTTATAAGATTTTATTGCTATTGTGATTTGAAGATGCATAATCTTCATAATATCTTTATGTACCTGAAGTATTTTAGTTTTTATTCTATCTCTCTCTATTTTTTTCTTAATTCTTTTTGGTAATCGATAATTAAAAACATATTCACCGTAAGAACAGGCTTATATTATAAAGTGCATTGACTGATTAAAATTTTGATCATTTAATAATGTTTACACGCGATTGATATTATTATATAAAAATAACTTATATTTTATAAGCTAATATTTGTTTGTTAAAACCTAAATGATCAAATGGTAGCTTTAAATGTTGGCCAAATGTATTGACAGTAATGTGTAAAATACATAGGTGTGTATTCTGAGAGTAGTAAGTCACAACAACATGATTTAATCAATAAAATATTCACTGATTTTTGTGTCCTTATTATCCATTTATAGATATATTTAAATAATGCTTCTTTATATATTTATTAAAAGAAAACAAATATATTAAGAGTTTATTTTCTTAATTAATTCTGATTATATCACTATGACTCAATTGGAATGACATTCATATTAAAATAATATCCAGTCTTTAAACACGTGTTAAAACATATGGCTTGTTTCATACCCACGAAACCTAATTTCACCATATTTTTCCTAGTTGACACACCTACATTCTCATAAAAATTCAACACCCATTAAACTTGTGTCATATAAATATGCTAATTGTTTCATATCAACATTGTTAACATACAAGGTTACGAAAATGACAAATACCTCAGTTTTCAACGTTTTTATTTTATCACTAATGATAAACATTTTCATATATGTACCTTTGTGGATATTGAAACTTCTAGTTTACAGTACAGTGCAACATTTTTATGAGCATAAAGTATCTGTTAGATTGTATCATTCGTCTTTTTTATCTTATTTATTTAAAAGTAAAGATAACAATCTAGATCTATAACAACTCTTAAAGCGTTTTATCTATTTATAGATTGATTTATCACTTTTTTATATATTTACTCCAGAAAATTAAATATACATGTTTGTAATATAACAAAAAAATTTAGAGTATGAATTTAATTTTTTAACATACATCTATAATAATCTTATTGACTAGCTATAAAATGTATTTGTTCGCTTGATTTCTATATTGAAATTCAAAATTATGTTGAGCAGACTAATATTGATAGTAATATATTAACATATGGTACATCATAGAATTAAATGTAACAAAACAACATTTGAATTACAAATAAATTTCGAAGCAGTGCTATAAATTTTTGATAATTAATCCTAAAATTTTATTTTTATAGCCAGATCTTTTTCTACATATTTTTAAAATAAAATTTGTGGTAACAGTAGTTATTTAGTGCTGAGACCATTGAATATTTTTTAAGTCGACTCCTTCTTGCACCATCTCCCAAAGAGGACTCATTTCTCTAAGCCTTTCTACATGTCTTATTGTTTTCTCGGCTGTGTAATCTACTTCCTCGATTGTTGTGAATCTTCCTAGTCCAAATCTGAAATTAACCAAAAAGAATTGCATACATTGGTTTTATTAAGATCTATATATATAAGAAAATTGTGTTAGTTACACTATTTATAACTTAAGAACGGCTCTACAGCCGTTCTAACCATTATATCTCTATTGATATATTTGAAAATTGGTGTGGACATAGCTTAGAACCAGGAGACAGACATAGGATATTTAATGCTGTTAGATAGAAAAAAAAACAATAAATTCCTATATTTGGTTATTTATGGACTCTAGGGCAGAATAGAGTTAGTCCAGTCAGCTATACCTGTATTACTAATGCTGAAATTAACGCGGACGAAGTCGAGGACAAAAACTAGTGATGCAATGAATATTAAACACCAACCTTATAGAACTATGTGCTAAATCTTCATCTGTACCGATAGCTCTTAAAACATATGATGGTTCGAGAGAGGCTGATGTGCAAGCAGAACCACTTGATAGAGCCACATCTTTCAATGCCATTAACAATGATTCACCTATAACAAACAATTTTAGAACAAACTTGCACAATATTTCAGTTAATTGTCATTTTTAATTAATTAGAATCTGACCTTCAACATATGCAAATGATAAATTTATGCATCCCGGATATGTCTGTTTTGGATCTCCATTTCTAATGACATGTGATAGTTTAGAGTAAATTTTGTCTAAGAATCTTTGGGCTAAAGTCTCCATCCATGCATGATCGTAAGCCATTTCGCGCTGTGCTAACTCACAGGCTGCACCTATTTATTATAAAAAGAAGTTTTCTTGAGTAATAGTATTTTATTTACATAATTATAAATGATGTATATTTGAAATAAAACTAATAATTTTGGATTTACTACTTGTTTTTAATTATTTAGCTTCCATGTTCTTGATGTATCAGTTACTTTGGACTAGCTGTGACCACAGGCATGTGACATAAGAATAAATAGTTAATCTAGCACAGTAAATCCAAGAATATTAGTTTTAATTCAATGAATATTAACGAAAGTTTTAGATCATGATGAATATAAAATGTATGTTTATAACATGTGACACCACCCTTCTCTGAAATCACGACTGTGTTCCTAAGCCCATAAGGTTGTCTGGTAGAAATCGCTACCTAGCGATAAGACCGCCTTATTGTGCAACATAATTAATATATATTTCATTATTAAATTTCTATGCTATTGTGGTGTACATTAAAGTATATATTATTATTATATATTATTACCCAATCCAACAACTAAAGGTGTTGGTACTGTTCCACTCCTCATACCCCTTTCTTGGCCTCCACCACTTTGTATCGGCTCAACACGTACTCTTGGTCGTCGCCGGATAAATAAAGCCCCCACTCCTTTTGGTCCATAGACTTTATGACCAGATATGGACATAAGGTCAATATTCATGCTATTTACATCTAGTGGCACTTTGCCAACTGCCTGTGCTGCATCAGTATGGAAAAATACCTTTTTGCTTTTGCATAAAGCTCCAATTTCACTGATTGGTTGCATTACACCTATAAAAATTATTTTTGTTTAGTGAAATATATATCAAAAAGTGTATTTCTAATAACCTCAAGAAATATTTATTACCTATTTCATTATTGACAGTCATAATAGACACTAAGCTTGTTTCAGGTGTGAGAGCATTTTCCAGATCTTTCATATTGATAATTCCGTTTGGCCCTACAGGCAAATATGTTATTTTGAAACCTTCTCCCTCTAAAGCTCGGCAGGAATCCAGTACACATTTGTGTTCCTAAAAATAACAAACATGAAAAGTTAATATTAATATTGTAAAAAAATAATGAGCCTTGGAAATATTCCTACAATTTGTGTGGTCACAATATGCTTCTTCCTTGGTGCATAGAAATGAGCAACCCCTTTGACAGAAATGTTATTTGATTCTGTGGCTCCAGATGTAAATACGATTTCTTTAGGGTCAGCGCCAATCAAACTGGCAACTTGTTCTCTTGCTTTTTCGACTCCTGCCTCACTTTCCCAGCCATAAGCATGTGTTCTAGAATGTGGATTGCCGTGGAAGCTGACTAGATATGGTAACATCGCATCAAGAACTCTTGGATCCTAATAGAAAATTATTGTTAGTAGAAATATATATTACTTAGATCGTTTGATAGCCAAACAATATAAAATATCACATCATACCATAGGAGTCGTTGCTTGTGCGTCAAAATAAAGTGGTCGACCGATTTCTTCATGTTTTAAAGCAAATTTTTCGTTTGCTGCAAACACGTTTTGGTTATAATAAAATTACATCATAATATACAGTGTAATAAATAAATATTTACCGGAATCTGATAAAAATTTCTTTCCTTGCAAAAAGACGAGAAATGCATTTTCATTCTGCAATGGTTTATGCTGTAAACTCTTTATAAGATTAGGAGCAATAATTTTGGAAAATCGAAACATTTTTGGTGATATTTTTTTTACTTTTTATACAATTAATTAAAGTTTTGAAAAGTTGACAAATGACAAGTGCTGGGTACACTATTAAGTGACAGCACTACTTGCAAAATGTTAAAGTGACAAACGCCATAGCATAGAAAAAAAATTAACAAAACAGATCTCTTATTATCTAAGTTCCTAAACATTATCTGAAAAAGATAAACATCGTAATAGAGACAAAAATTATTAACCAATTTTGCTGTATAGAAGACACAAACATGCACACGAGGTTTTAAACCTGCTTGTGTCGATATAGTTTTGATATATTTAAACGAAATAGAAATAATTTTAAGGTAGAATTAATCGCTAAAAACTACCTTGTAACTTATTATATCGTGTAGGTTTTAAAATTTTATGAAATAAAAAACTGTTTCCTTCTGAATAGATTTGAGAACATCAAGAAATTGGATTTAAAATGATTTGCTAGTAGTATTATAAAATTTAATTACCCGGACTAGGCACATTAACACAAATAATATGCATTTTCAATTCTTAGTTTATTGATTTAAAAGGATCTATAAATTAATTTTGTATCTGATAATATAATAATAGTATATATTTTCCAAGATGTGTTGGATATCTTGTAGACACAGGATACACAAATCAATGTTATTTAAAGCTTTTACTATTATGTACTTGTTTCTGGTAGATAGAAATATGTGGAAATTAATTCATTTTCATGAACATGGTACAGCTTTTAAATTGTATGATTTGAAAAAAGCGTGTGTTGAGTTTAACATCACCATAATCAACAGAACTGCACTATGCACATGTTTTAGTTGTTACAGATCTACATAAATTTAATTTTAGGATTCATAATTTTATTGTTTAAACCTATAGCAATAGTAATATTGTTTTTGAAATAAAATGAAATTGTTGTTAAATTATTATATTAAATAAAGTTTTATTCAAAAATATCATCATAGATTAATAATGTTCTTTTTGCATCTTTTTGTGGAGCAGGCTGACTGTTGCGAGCTGTCGCTGAAGGTGTCCAAGACCCAGGCTGTGGGGTTTTTCTAACATAAGAAACGCGCCAGCCTTCTTCACATCCCTCAAGAGCAGAATGAGCGTGTGTTGCCATATCAGTGGTTTCAAATGTTAGATACACTCTAAAAAAATATTAAATAATCAAATTTTTACACTTTTAATATCACAAACTGTCTTTATTCTCAGTTATTACTCACTTTTCTTCATCAGGCTCTTGGGTGAAAGTGAACGGTTCAAATGATGCCAAACGCCGTCTTAATAGCTCTTCTGTGATTTTACTGCCTACAATTTGTAAAGAAGTAGTTTTGCCGCTACTATTTGATGATTCTCCGGGACCTTGATTTCTGGATGACTTTTCTTCCCTGAAAACCATTGTATGTAAAGATGTAGTAAATATATTTTTGTAAAATAGTATTAAAAACAAATTAAACATATAGTATACTTTTCCCTAGCAGTTACAAAGGAGTCATATAAGTATTTAACTCGTGGTGATGCTTTTTCCTCAGGAGGTGGTGGTTCTTGTGAAGCACTGAATGGTTGATAAGATGCGATTCCACCTGCCGCACCTGTTGAACCACTCAACTTGCGTTCTCTGCCTGTTAAAAAGAAAGTTATATAAGTTTTATTATCAATTAAAACACACTGAAGTTTTAAATGTATGAAATCTACAGAAATATTATGAAAACTAACTTGAGAAATATTTGAGCTTGAGGTTTATGATATATATTTCTGCAGTACATTACAGATGTAAGCTTTACATTTATCACTTTTCATGACTCGTGTACAGGTTGCTCAGGTAAGTTAATATATAATATTATTAGTTTAGTGGTCTATACCTGCTCTAGGTCTCTTGAAAGTTGCATTTTGTGGTTGTGGCGGCGGACTTTTGATAGCTTGGATCGCGCCACTCTTAATAAGCTTGCGAGCAATTTCTCGAGCATCCCGAGCCTCAGTCGGTCGTTTAGGTAATATTGGCTTTTCTGGTTCCTGTTTCGGTGCTTTAAGAGCTTGAAGTGCTTTTTTCTTTTTCTTCAACTTTTGATATTTAGCTTGTAGCATTAATTCTTCTTCCGTTAAGTTGGATGGGAAATGTAGATAGACCATTTTAGAAATGGTTAGAGTTAAGACTAATAAGAAATGCGATGTTCTTAAGTAAACTATAAAAACCTTGGGGTATTAAATATTTGTTTTTATAATGCTTTTAGACACAATTTATTGGAAAGTATTTATCAATACTACATTAACAGTGAATTCTGACATTGACAGATAAATGTTTAGAAAGTATATAGGTAATATGATAAGCATCACAGTTCTTAAATTTTTAACTTGTCCTATTTTAAAGTAAGCAACTACTAAGGTAAAACTATGAAGTTTCATTAAAAATATATATAAATTAAAAACATTAATAAATTTTAATCATAAATTAATTTTTTACAAGGACCAGCCATTTTAAAGACGAATTTAATCATAAATTAATTTTTTACAAGGACCAGCCATTTTAAAGACGAATTTATCTTTGGGCTTGCTCTGGAATGGTACAAGTATCCTTCATATTAAAGGGATAAAAGTATAATACCTAATACTGACACTGTTCTAGGCAGTGAAACAGGAATTAAAGACACAATAAAATTTAAACATGGATGAGATTATTTCTTATAATTTTGAGATCTTGGTAAATTCTAGAATTCCCTGTATTTTCAATTTGTTTGGCCAGTTTTTATGAAAACAAGTGTTAAATATGTTATTATTATTGTCAGTTAAATATAAATAAATGAAAGCTGGATTTAACTGTTTTTACGAAGTTGGTAAAATAAATCGCTTATGATTTATAATAGTATTATTAAATTATATACTAAAAACTTAAGGATTAGAAACAACCTCTTTAACTTCAATTTTAATCCAATATCAAAATCTAGGTATAAAGATTCAGGAAACAAATGATGTATATTTTAATAAGTATTGCAACTACCTAATAATGGATTCTAGGAAAATGAAGTTGTACTTGCTTACTCATTGTTGTGTCTTTGACCAATATAATCAACAAAATGACTCATTAACTATGTATGCCTACCCATTGTAACTGTTGCTTTACACTATATATTGACCCCACATGATGCAATTTAAGCATTCAACTTTCGCTGTGCATAAGAAGCGCGTTGTCATCAATCTTAGCCTTATTAAATAATAAACTTGTGTTAAAATGGCTCGTGATTCCATATATACACTACTTGTTTTTACCGTAATCTGTTCAATCAATTATACCGTGGCATTTCCAAGAGACAGCAGTGTTATTAGAACAGAACCTCTGACGAGTAATAATAATGATGTTGCGTCAAAAGTGAAAGAGATTTCGCCTCAAACAATCAGTGTCTCGGATTCAGTAAATGGTAAGTAAATTTTATGTTGGTTGTCACTTGAATATGTAATCAATAAATTGTAAAATGCAAAAAAGGTTTTCTGTTATTGTTTACACTACGGGCCATGAAAATGACTCAGCACTTCTCATAAAGCATTTTTTTTCTAGTATTACTTACTGAATACCGTTAAGTTTATTTTTCTTAATAATCTTTGTTCATTTCATATTACATAAAAATACCATCATAATTAAGGTATAAATAAATTATATTGAAGAATATTCATCGATTAAAAAATTTAATTAGTAAAATTTGTTACCCTTGAATCTTGGGATAACTATTTTTTTTATTTTGGATATTTTGTAATACTACTAGAATATATAAGAATTTAATAAATCAAAGGTTTAATATTTTTATTTCAGAATATAAGATACCCGGTCGTATAAGCTGCCCTCATGAGGAAGCTACCGAAGATCCAAGCTGTTTAGAACATTGCCTTCCTAAAGGATATTCTTATGGATTGTGTGTTAGCCATATTTGTAGTTGTATTTAATTGTACTGGTAATAATAAGAAATCACATTAAGTTACGTATATGGTTTCATTTCTACAAAACTGTCTTTGTAATTAAAAATTTTACCATGTCCGTGATAAATTCGTTACCTCTAAAGAATTGGGCATTTAAATTACATATACATAATTTTAAATAAATAGTCAGAAGACAGACAGATAAGACAGTAATGATTTAAACAATTAATATCTTGTAACTTATCACTCAGAGTCTTTATACATAAAACGTATCGACTGTTATTATAATGTTTCTGTTTTGACTTAAATGCCAAAAAATATTAAGGCGAACCTTAAGTCATACAAATTATTATTTTTTTAATTATTTAAACGAATATCAAAACGTAATATTATTTTTTTGCAGTGTTTAATAAAATATTAATAAAATATTAATAGCGATATTAATTCATTTAACCATTTCTGCACTTTGCATGATAATTAATGCAGAAACAAACAAACTTTTTTTAAATCTATAATTGTTGTAAATAGTTTGAACTATAGTTATGTTGATTTATGACCTCATTGTTATGATGTAAATATAAACCAAACAAAATTATACATTTGATCTATTTTTTTTATATTTCAAAAACACATAAAAACACCGAAAGTTAGATAGAAAAAGAAAACATTTGTATAAATAGACATAAACATTCAGTTTTTAAAAAAAGTTAAGCAATAATATCAGACAATGAAACAATTAGTATAAAAAGAACTACGTTATATAAACAATTAATTTGTGAATTTTGACGTTACGCGTGTGAACTATTATTATGAATGATAATTAGTAAAGTAACTTTTTAATATACAATAGTTCAAATTTATCAAAAATGAGTTAAAAGAAATAATATCAAAGAAATAACAGAGAATGAAATTTAAAAAAATGTTATGAATATTGTCTGCATTTGCTACATTTATGTATTTTGTGAAGTCTTTTAGTTCTTGCGATAACAAGTGAAAATTGTTGAAATTTAATTTCTGTTGTTGATGTACTTAAATATATCAGGTTCAATAGCAATGGTATACTTGGTTTCATCTGGAGATGGATTCATATAGTGACAATAGAAATGTAAATTAAAGAAGTTCACAGTTAAAATGTTCTATAGAATTGTTTGCTATATTATTGCTCATTTGGAGAAAGAAGGATTTCTGCATATTATAGTTGAGCTGGTAATAAAAATTTAAGTCAATCCCACATCTTTGCAACAAATTGATAAATAATATAGCATGAAATTGAAAAAGATCTAGTACAAGCCATGGGAATCTATTGCATACTTTAGGCGAGGTACTATTTCGTGGCAATTTTAAAAATTACAAATTTAAGTTAATTTCATTCAAGTGAGAAGATTTTACTTCTCAGTGTAAAAACATGGTTTAAGAGATTAAAGAAAATAGTCAAATAATTCTTCATATGGCCCCTATTCATGACCTTCAGATGTATTTATTTACAAGGATGCAAATGTTGCAAAACACAAATAAAGCTAGACTCGACAGGTAAAGCGTAAATTTTAATATTGAACGACTAAATTAATGAACGAAGCGAAGTTATTTAACTTTATACAAATTAAGGAATCTAAAATGTTATAAGTAATCTGGGTTAGATTTCAATTGACGACAAAGACTAACACGTGTTGTTGGATAGGAAATTGTTAAAATATGTCAAGGATGAACTCCAAAACATATCGATTAATATTCACGATTGGCCTTATTCTGCTGGATTACCCGATGAGTACGAAATAATGATATGATAATGATGGAAACTTCTAGTGTGCCGATAACATTTGATTCCGTTTGTACTACTCTTGATAGAGGTGAACGTTTCCAGTATTAATTACTGTCATATTTATTTACACGAAGGAGTTTCGCTAAATATTCTTACATTACTTTCTTCATACAATATGTCCAACTTTTACCGATTGGATAAAAAAAGCATCTATTTATGAAAAATAAATAAAATTTTAATCGTTAAGTGTTACCCAGATGGATTGCGGAATATTCTCAATCAAGAAACCTTTTTGATATAAGTACCTAACTGTTTTTAGTAATGCAATTATATTATATGTTTAAATAAGATCGACTCCAAATTTTCAAAAATCATTTTATATCGAATTTTGATGAATTCCAATTAATTTAAGACAAATAGAATTGCAATATAGTTAAGAAGAATAATTTTAAATTAAATTTTAAGAAAACTTTAAAAAAATCATAAAATTATATCTTTTATAACGAATTATTAAACTTAAAAATATAATTTCAAAAACAATTTATCATATTTTGAAGTACCTGCCAACCAATTGTAATAACTTTATTTAAATTATAATTAGGTTGTCATATATGTATATGTTTTGAACACTTTTACACAGAATGATAAATACTTTGTTAATAACGATGATAGGTATGTTTTGAATTAAATTAACTAACTGTTATATAAACAATACTACTCTTCTACTTACTGGTCAGAATGTAGCTTATAAGAGTTCGAACCTTTTATTGATAAAAATGTTCAATTAAAACGTAATGTGATTTAATATCTAAGAAACAAAATGTTGTCAACTTACTCGTTCGTACTTTCCGGGGACGGAGTCAGCTTATTTTCTCTGTTGAGAAGATTTGTTACTGTCATAATATATGATTTAAAAATCATACAAAACTGCGAACTTTAAACTTTTTTTAGGACGATTATTCAGCTCCCAGAGATGCTCTCAATTTATCACTATTTATTATAGCTGTTCTGATAGAAATGTTTAAATACGTAGGTATAAGTAGTTTATATATTCTATTTGTCGGTTTACATAAAATGTATAAACAAATTAATGCATTTTATTTCGTTAATTTTATAGCTTTATTCAGACACCATAACAAATTAATATTCAGAGATCATAACAGATTGTTACATCTACTTCTTTTTATTTTTATATACTTTTCCACATTTCGCAGTTAAATGTTCGCAGTTAAATCACAAATGTTTACTAAATACGAAAAATACCTATATTAAGTTATGAAAAGATGACTTTTTTAAATTTTTAGGGTTTGTGTTCAAATTAGCATAAAACATATAATTTGAAATGATTGTGAATTAAGAGTAATAGGTACTTTGTTATGTAAGTGCTATTGTTTAATCAGCATGGCTCATACAATGATGGGAACTTTACTAGGAGTTGCCATTGGCAGTATGTGTATGGAGAACAGTTAGCTTTATAAGAATAGACTCTTTTTTAAAAAAATATTTGTTTTCTCTATGACTTACTTAATCATTTGCATTAGGATGAACATACGCGTTTCGTTTTACTCAATAATGTTTTCTTTTAATAAAATAGTCAAATAAAGTTGGTGCAACATTTACCTACAATAGAACGAGTTTTGTAACTTCGTGTACCTGTATATCTTTCGAACCTTTTGGCCCCTCGTTGTCATGAAGCATATTAGTTTCAGAAGAAAATAATCAAGCTACGTCTTTTAAACATCCATGAAAGAATTTGCTTGTAGCCAAGTTTATATTAACATCTAAAACAAATCTGAATATTTTATCTCTTTTAAATATCCAAACGTAGTCTTATGTCACTTCAAACACGTTTTGCACGGAATTAAGAGTTTGAAACCATGTACGAAAAAAAAGTCATATGGTTTTTTACATTAGAAAATAGCATCAATATTGTATATATTGTTAATGGTCCTGCGTGGTGTATATTTGTGTGTATTGAGGTGTTATTTAATTTAAATTGCGCTTATTTTTTTTTTATTAATTCTATACTTCGTACCCCGTACTCTCATAAGCCGTTTGAAAATCAAATTTGAAGTTGTACAACTTATCTCATGCACTGTGTTAATTAAAAAATAACACAATACACATTTTATTACTAGCAAATCATTATAATATAAAGGATACTAGATATAAAAAGGGTGGACTAACTTTTTATTTACTTTTTAACTAACTTGTAGATTTAATCCATATACAAGATTGGATTTTTTTGATTCTATAGTATATGGTTTTTGCACTGACGGTGTGGACAAAAAAATTATGTATAGTTGAAGGATTGGATGTGACACATTTAATTACTGGGATAGCTACTAAGTACCTGTAATATTACAGTAAAATTGTTATTTGTTCCCTTGATTTATTTCCTTCTAATGTGTGAATCATCTAGAAATCTAAATATATTCCGTTATTACATCACAAAGAGTTATAAATCTTGTAGTTTTTTAGAGATTTTTATAAAAAAAGACTGAAAGAATTACTTTGATCTCTTTTATTATGACGTCTGTATAGAACAAAAAACAGTATAAAAACACGTAATATTCACCAACAATGTTTGAAATTTTTAACGTTTCCTCCGTCTTATAATAATTCTTATTAGTTTGTTAATACTATTAATAACCGCTTTTTTGTTAGCTCTTCAAATATATAACACAAAGAGAAAAAATCCTACAGCAAAAAGTTCCTTTAAAACGATTTTATCATATTTAATTACTCAGAAAAAGATAAAAATAGTTGTAATTAAAATAAATTGTTTATTAATATAATTAGAAAATATTAAAAACTCCTGGGGTTTTCGATATGTACAAGTACAAATTGTTTATGACTTACTTCATATATTCTACTTTAACAGTTTTTTCACTGTGAATGTTGTAGTTATAATCTCTTAAATATGGTTATGTACCTACGTGGAAAATTACCGTTACATAATATAGAAGATATATCTTTTTTATTTACAATATATTTCGACAAAAAACTCAACTTTATGTAGTTCGAGAAGCATTGTTCAACTTAAAAAACTGATAACAGTACATACTGTTTAAAATTTTAATTTTAATGAAAAGATTTGAAATATTAATCAATGATATTCAGAAATATTTCACTTATATATTCAAGTATATATTTTGCAAGAGGTAACAAAAAGTAAGTCTTAATAACAGTTGCAGTACATATTAACAGATTGTTATCTTCAATCATTTACTTCTATAACTTTGTAGGTATATTAAAACGAAAAGAAGAAAATATGTATAGAAATTATCAAAGTAAACGTTACAAAAATAAAAAGTTAGACCTTTGTACAACAATAAATTTGAAATATTTCAAATGTAATAAAATAATCTTTATTATAATGTTATGGGTTCTATTATCTTTTAATCTTGAGACAATTAATCTTAATTACAATTAACTTTATGAAAAAAATATGAGTTTAAAAACATCTTTCAAGTTTGTAATATTTTTATAATTGTATATGTATAAGAGTTCATAACTTCAAAAATATATTCATTTTTTATTTTACATAGTGAATACTGCTATTTAGACACTAAACTTCGGTTTAGTAACGTTTGTTTTAACATAAATATAAATAAGAACTATACTTAGTTTCATGATATAGCTGCTTTTTAAAAGTACTATTCGAAACAAGTACATACCGTTCCAGTTAAGTCCATATGAAAAGTATTCAAAGGAAGATAAAAGTAAACTTTTAAACAATGTAGGAAATATGCATTTATGACGTAAATAATGAAATGTTCAAATCTCTTTCGAACCTTTATTAGACATATCTATTTAACTAAGAAGCGATGTTTTAGTAGAAACAATAACCATTAAAACATTAATATTCGCGAAATAACTTAAGTTATATCTATTTATATTAAATTGTTGTTTATTTAGATTTTTCGTATATACCTACAGTTCCCAACTGATCGAATGCTGAAATTGCATGTGATTTAGCGTTCATTTTTTCTGGAATTAAGTGATCTGCTTCTTCCTTGATAATATTCCAGCTAGTTTCCACATCTTCCTTGTTAGTAAATCGAGAACAAATAACAAATCTTATAACGAATCGCCCTCTGTAGGTACACCCAACCATAAATAATTCCTTCTTCTTAGTTAAATTATCTAATAATTCTCTTGTAATTTTATCACCATTAACAAGTCTGAAGCATACCAAAGCCATAGATGGCTCCGGTTCTACTACAAACCTTTCATCGTTTTGCACTAATTTAGCAAAATACTGTGCTAAACTTATTTGATCTCTGATATGTTTTCTCAGACCTTCTGCTCCATACATTTTTATCACAGTCCATAGCTTCAAAGAGCGAAATCTACGGCCTAGTGGCATTTGCCAGTGACGATAATCCGGAACTTTAGCAGCTGTTTTAACATCATCTAAATATATACGTTGAACGTCGAAAGCATTTATTAAGTCATAGGAATTTTTTACCCACATTGCTGAGTAATCAAAATTCACAAGAAGCCATTTGTGTGCGTTCATATCAAAAGAATCGGCATATTCTATGCCTTTCATTAGATGTCTATATTCTGGGCATATAAATGCAGCTCCCGCATAGGCTGCATCAACGTGCAACCAGACACCTTCTTCTTGACATATTGGTCCGAGTTCATAAATAGGATCAAAAGCACATATTCCTGTGGTACCCAAATTTGCAACAAAGTAGCAAGGTATAAGACCCTTTGCCTTATCTTCTTCAAATGCATCTTTTAATGTTTGTGCTCGTAATTGACCGTTGTTATCACTTGGCAAGAGCCGCATTTTCATCGAACCAAGTACACCAGCTTTTTCAACAGAAGAATTGCACTGATCCGATGTATATGCAACAAACTTATTTTTAGTTTCGTCTTCATCTAAATTCGGATCATTTTCTAGAAGTTGTCGTATCTTTTTATCCTTCGCCGCCAGCAGACAAACAAGAGTTGCTTCACTTGCGGAGCCCTGAATATTAAAAGAAAATTATTAATATAGAACATATTTTCTATTATGATATAAATAAACAAAATTAAATATATTTCACCTGTATGATACCGCCTCCAGGTCCTTCAGAGCAGTTGAGAAATTCCTCAGGTAAACCCAATAACTTTCCTAGCCAATTCATTGTAACGACCTCCAGTTCCGTACAGGCAGGACTTGCATTCTGAAAGAGAGTGCTAATTATTAAGTTCTGTACCCAAGTAACCTACTATAATAAACTTATTTAAATGTAGTATTGCTAGTTGTATGTTTACAAAGATATATTTAAGTAATTAGTAAGTTAAATTATTTTGCGTGAAGATATACAATACCCATGTTATACCGATGACACCTAATCCATCGCTAAGGATGCTTCCTATAATACTGGCGAACGATTGTCCAGTTGGAAAATATGCGTGAAATTGTGGTGATTGCCAGTGAGTTATCTACGAAAATAAGATTAATTTACTTTATTGTTATTCAGTTTACCTTGCTAATATTATATTATTAATGGAGTTACATCAATTTATTTGTTTTGTTGTTGGAAACAATTAAATAAGTCGCAAAGATGATCTATTTAGGGGACCTTTTTTATTTATGAAAAAAAGTATTTTCATTAAAATACGAAAAAAAGTTTAAAAAAGTAATTCAACGTTAATATTTGGTTCGATCATAAAAACATTTCTTTTTTAACAAAATTTATTTTTCAGATGGTATAGTTGATGGACCCAATTTATTTCCCTAAATATACATATATTGGATCGAAATTATGAAACAAAATAATTACCCCAGGCATTATCGTTTCACAAAAATCCTTAAGAACATTTTTGTGATCTTCGGGTTCTTCAGGAGCCTCTTCAGGCAATAGTTTTAAAAGATAGCCTGGTTCAACTGAGGGTAATACATTTCTGGAAGGAAATAAAGGAGTTAATTCAATATTTTTATACAGAGTTGTTTTATATTATTCCCTCTTTTTGGGTTTATTTAACAGAATTTAAATTTTATTGAATAAGTTTTAGACAATTAAAACATTTTTTTTTATTTTCGTCCCTCTATTACCATTGATTGAAAAATAATCTTCTTAAAACAATTAATAATATTTTTTTAAGTTTTTCTAATATTGTTCAACAATTGTGTACTATTACAAAAAGTTAAAAATATTATGCAAACTTTTTTAAGAAGTTTTTCAATGTTTAAATAAGATATTAAAATAATTATCATATTTAATTTAAAAATTATCATATTATGGATTTACATAAGTGCAATAATTAGAATAATTATAAGTAACTTGCAACTACTTCGTCTTCAAAACAATGGGGAACTAAGAAATACCACATAACAAAATAAGCCTCATTGTTTGTAATCGAGTTGTATAACAATTAATTATGAGTGTTATTATATATTGCTTGGAATATTCTATAGTTTATTCCCACTCATTGTTTCATGCTAATTAATGGAAAATATTATTTTACGAAAGTTTCGTAAAATCAACAATATAAAATGTATATATTTTTTTATATTATTTATATTTATTAAAATCAGTTAAAAACGAATTACCTATTTCTAATATTATCATGATAATCGGCGATCAGATCAATCGTAGCTTTTCCTATTTCTCTAAATTCTTGAGAATTCATTGTTCACTTCACTTTGTAAACACAATGGATAAACACGCGGTTGTTGAGATATGTAAAACTTTATATTTTAAAAAAGTCAATTTCGAGACTCGAGGTTTGCCGTACAGAGAGACAATGGTTGTCGGGATCGCTGCGAGCGGTTTATATGCGGCACTCAGCTTTCCATATTTATACGAATGCAACAATAAGGTACGCTATCCACTACATTTTAAAAATAAACGATCTCACTATTGTCTCAGCTTGAATATTTCGTTGTATAACTATATCATAAGAAAATTTATTTACATTAAAAACTCTCATTAAGTCCTGAGGTAAAAATAATTTGTTATTTACTTCGAAGATGTGTATGCACAATTGCGGTTTATCGTGTACTTATTTATCGTCAATACTTTCACCGACCAAAGTTGGTCAAGCTGACGTTGTAATACAGTTACAAAGGATACGTAAGATAACCCAAAATTAAGTTATTTATCTACTCATGAACTATTTCAAGTTTTGTCAGTAATCAATACATTTACGTGAAACGAATCAGGGAATAGGAAAAGAAAGACAAAGTTAAATGAATGATCCGATTAATGAATTGAAACATCTCGTGTTTTTAACTATATTATCCATTTTTTAATTGATTGCTTTTATTTATAAAGGGTTATGAATATTTGGCATATACTGATAAAATAGAAATAATTAGTTAATAAAATGAATAGAATTAGGAATTAGTCTTCAGATGACATCTTGTGTTCTTCTGACAACCGTGGCTAAGTGGCTCGTTCAAGGCAACAGACGACGCGGAGCGACAGTGCATCTTATCTCTTTGACATAGATTTCCTGTTTTTTGTTAATTATTTTGCTTATTTTTTTTTTTTAGGAATTGTATTACTCTATTTTTTTTAACTGGCAAGCTTGTAATAAGAACTCAATAATTGGCTTTTTACTATTTTATTTTTCATGATATAAAATATTAATTGAAATTTGGTTTAGGTATATAGTTTTAGTATAGTTTTGTAAAAAGAAGCACATTGAGGATTTTCTTTATAATAGAAAATAATAATAATCATTTGATACTAATATTTCTACAGTGTATTCTGTTCATCTTGTTTCTATAAACCATTTAAATAGTCCATTTGTTTGGAAAAGTGTTGAATAGTTATGGTTTTCCAGAGATTTACGCAATGCAAAACTCAATTGAAAATGAATTAACATATATATTTGAACACAATCTATTTATAAAAAATAATTAATAATAAAAAAAATATAGTGATTGTCCTAATTTAAAACCACTCAACCGGGAAGTAATTCGCAAATCGCACGAATTCTATTCATTCTTCCAAGGTTGTTTATATTGTATTATTCACTGAAAGATTCAATAAACAGGACTCTATACGTGCGAATGTCCATTCCGCAGTCTGAAGTTAGTGTAACAGAGTATTTTTCGGCCTTATCCTGCCCCGGTATAGTCACCGGTAACAAAAGATAACCCCCGGTATGCTGGGCTAGTGTTACTTTATCAAGTCTTGGTAAGAGAGCCCGCGACGTAATCCGGAAGGTAGTATCACTTCTTAATATGTGCTGGATTTCGGACACGTTTGTCCCCCCCTCTTCCAGCAACATACCCAATATTATCTTGCCAGTGGCGCTTTCTACAATGTGATATATTTATTAAATACATCAAAACCCTTATTAAAAAAGCAATTATAATATAAAAAATATGCTTAATACAACTTGTATTAGATATTTAATTTAGTTAAAAGACATATTAATATAGAAATACAAATAGTACCTATTAATTGATCGTAAACATGTATCATTACGTCTGAAGCGTATTCTAGTAATGCATGACGTAATGATTTAAGCATCAATTCATTTCGATAAGGAATTGTCAAGACGGTGGTACGATAACACTCACAGGCTTCGCCACAGCTACAAGGATCTATTGGCCAACTATGAACTTTTGCTTGTAGAGTATCTATTGCTAAATCCCACCTAGGTTGAGTTGTAACCCTGACAAAAAATTCACCAATATCGCTTCGAAACCATATCCAAGAATTTCCGACTACTGTACTAAGACAGATTATTTGAAGATAGAGTTTATGTTCTTGAATTTCTTGTCCACTCTCTTTCGGTAAACCAGTCAGTGTTATTTCCTTCTCGATTAAATTAAGACGTCTCACGCAAAATTTGGCAGGTGTGGTTGTATCAAATTCTGGTGGAATCGATGGCTCGTTATCTGTCAGATATAATTTAAATGTTGCTGCTGCTGCAAATGGTGAAGCAACTAGCACATCTACTTTGTTTGGTCTGTATAATGGGCCTGTTACTTTACATTTTCTAACAGGATTTAAAGCACCTACAGAGCCATTAAGCATGAACACTATATATGTGTCGAAGATTCGGGTTTTATTATAACCGTGTACTAAAAGAATTGCTTTCTCATTTTCAACAAAATTAGCTACATATTTTACACTCAGATACATTTTCTTGCCATTATCAGCTCCAGATCCTTTTTCTACGGCAAAACTGTTCTTTGTGTTATTTATTAAGATATAATTAAAACTTAAAGACTCTTGGCTAGTTGGGCTTATCGCTACCTGTCTTGAGGAACTTCTTAGAAGGGGCGGATTAAATTCAATTGTTTTTTTCGGTCTATACATTGGCAGTGTGACATACAGATGTATTGATAAAAAAAGCATGAGTAAAAAATTTGGTTGCAAAAAGTCATTACTGTTTAAAGGAAAATATAGTCTCAATAAGTTCATTGCTTCGATGATAAGACAAGCGTTGTTTATTATATCGCCTTCAGCGTTACCTTTGTCCACCTCACAGTACAGTGAAAAGTGATCTTGCATGAAAGGGCAGAAATTTAAAATTGATGAAATTATAGCTTTGCCATCGGATAAGTCTGTTGTGATGTTTGTTATATTCTTTACAACTTTATTACTACCGCCAAGTTTTTCATGTTGATTTGTTATATTTTCATTATACCAATCTATTAGAACCTTAACCACATCTCTTGGTTGAGAACTCATACAAACGCATTCAAAAAAACAGCTGTCCATTACAAAAACTTTGTAGCTTTGTAAAATGAAATCTGTCCAACTTTGCTTATTTAATCTATGAAAACGTTCAACATCCGCAATTAGTTCTTGTGTAAAAATTATATCAGCATTTCCCTTTGGTGTAGCATTTTCTGTATATAATACAAATTGGTCATAACTTAATAAAAACTTTGCTTGTAAAGACCATAAATTTGCTCCACGTGATCTTAACAGATTGATAATTTCTCGATAGGTATCGTGAATTTCTTTAACGATTTTAAATGATTCGTCCACGCCGACTACCCTATTAAACAATAAAAAAAACTGTTTACGTACGTCAATATTTCCATAAAAGGTTTTTATTATTTAGTAAGTACTTACGATATTTTACGTATATGTTTCATAAGAGGGCCTGCGATTCTTCGTATAAAATTCAAGTACGACACATTAATTCCTTTTGATTTCGTCCCACCAGATTGTGTGGACATAGCAGAAGAAATGGCGTGAAATGTATCTGGTATCACGGGGTATAAATCTCTCCGGAAGCCTTGTTGGAACATCCATTTCTCAAGAAAATTTAAACAATTTTCTAAATAATTATATAACTGACTTTGACTAGACACAGGAAAATATGGATATGGGTTTTCACTCGGCGTCACTAAGAACTGTGTGTGGAGCGTTAAAGGACAGTAAGTGAAACAAAAGCTCACTTCGACTTCGCAGAATGATCCTGAGTCGTGGTGAAAAGTTAATATTATATTCCTGGAGTAAGTCACGCTACAAGACACCGATATTTTAACGTTAACCAAAGTGTAAGTTGTATTTTCCTCTAAAATTATATCTGTATTTAAAATTTCTACAACCACATTTGGTTCTTCTTTTGAACTGCATGAAAAAAGGTCTATACTAGATTCACCTTCCATTTTAAGAGTGATATTTCGAAAAATATTTTCATCCACGTAGCATGGTGGAAAAATAATTCTATGACTGCTAGGTATCATTATCGGTGTCTGACGTTTTCCATAAAATGTTAAATTATAGTATGGAGTAGTCATATGTTTATCTAAATATAATAAGGCCACAGATACAAATTTACCATGACTTTTTGGATGAAAATTTAAGATAAAAGTAACTTCCTTTAAGCGATCAAAGTCAAATTTTATTTGACTTTCATTAGAAATTGATGGTTCATCTGTAATTAATTCCAGTGAAAAATTTGGTGCTAGTTTCGAGGTTATAATAGTAACATAGAGGAAATACTTCGATATGTTCGTCATGGTAAACTTTATATAATTTTCGCCATGTGCTTTATAGTCTATCTCAAATTTATCAACTGAAAAATCTATCCATGGCACTGTGATCACGCCAGTTATTCGACAATAACTGATATCCTTGTTAACAGTTTTGATTTTAAGTTTTGAATTGTTTTCGTAGTTCCTGGAAAATATAATATATTTAAGTAACTTATTGTATATGGTAATTTTATATTACATTACATTATAGTATTATTACTTACTTTTCATTTTCTTCAATATAATACCGCAATTCTGTTGAATTTGTGTCATTATTTGGAGGTCCTAAAAGATCGTTAATCTTAAAAGGAATATACATTTCATATTCTCTTCTAAATATGTCGTATACTTTTATGTATACAGTTTTTGATTGACCCCCATCCACAGTAAATTCAAATATTCTTTGTCTTTCATTTCCTTGTAACATATACACATTAAAAATGTTGTCATCTCCTGTGTCTAAGATTTCTACCACTGTTTTAAGAGTACTTAGATTTTGAAAAGTCACTGGTACAAAAGTCATCATATTACAGGGAATTCTTGTCATGAATATATTTTTTGGATGTATAATTATTTTCGGTTCGATGACATTTCCACTAACTGGTAATGATACATTCTCCTTATTATTTATTTTTATAAGTATGTCAAAAGCAAACTCTATTATGCAAGGAATTTTTACAATAATTGCAAATGACATAACCATTTTTGGTCGTAAAGTTCCAGACATTGGTTCTATTCGAAAACCAGGAATCAGTGGTTCAACCACGTGAAATATTGCAATTTCCCGCGAGGAATTTTCTAGTTTTATATATTCTATTGTTTCTAAATTTAAAGCAATGTCTTTAAACATAATTGCTGGTTGTAAAAATTTTATAGATAGTTTACGTGTAATTATACTTAATTCAAGAGGAATAGCCCTCGTAATACTGCTGACTGACAATAAATCTACTTCGTGAGTCTTGGTTTTCGATGCCTTGCAGACATATTGGACATCACAGATTTTGCAAGAATGGCGAGGTATAGTCCCAGAGCTGGGTTTTATTTCAAATGGAATGTCTGAGTAAATTTCCTCCCATTTAAAATCCACAGGCAAATTGAAATTATTATATATTCTTAATGGCACTGAGGTCACAAAACTTTCGGTTGTTACCATTCCAAATTTTAAGTTTTTCTCTAATATCATCAATGTTGGCGTACCTATTTGTAGGGTGTAAGGGTGCTTGCGATAATATTTATTATCAATCACATAAGAGAATGAACTGCTGTAAACTCCTTCTTTATTAGCAATACAGAAAATTGTTATTTGAGTTTCGCTGAATTTCTTCAATTTTATTTCATATGTATGCAGTTTGTCTTCTGTATAAATGATATATTTGTCTTTCAAAAATTGAAATAACAAATCATAATTTGTTTTATTTGTTATCGTTAATATTTCGTCTCCAAGTGTTGAGACTCCAACTCTTCCAAAATCAATCGTAAATGGCGTAAACACTATGCCGAAAAGATCGTATGTTGTTATTTTTTCTTGAATTGGTTCACAAAAATCACTTCTTTGTACAGTTTTTATCAATAAATTAGAATAACATCTTACATTACCAGTAGTATATTTTTCTACCACAGGTTTTCTTGCGTATCGTATTTTAGAAATTTCTAAAAATGTTTTTGCCCTTTCTTTTCTTTCAGCTTGGACTTTAACTTCATTTCCTACGTATGTATACTTGCGATTCTGTTCTTGTAATTTATGTAAAGATTCTATTTTTAATTCTTTAATCGTTTTTTGGTATATGACATTCATTTTAAAATGAACAGCGTATGATAAAAAATTGTCTTTATCTTTCTCTTTTGTACTCTGGTTCTCAATAGTATTATATACATAATGAGGGTTGGTTATTTTAAATTTTATAGTGCTTTTCAGTTTTAGACAGGTAGGTTTAATTGTTATTGCTACTTTTTTAGATGTATTTGCATTCACTGTGAATCTTTCAGGCATAACCTCAAAACCCGGTACTCTGATGTATTCCATTTTGGCACTCATTTCATTAGATTCGTTTCGCAACCTTATGTTTTTTGTTACTTTCGTATTAATTATAACATCTCCAAAATTAAGTGTTTCAGGTGAATGGCTTATATTGCATTGTTCGAATTGACCACTTATATAATATCGTCCAACTTCAGCATGTAATTCGTTATCACAGCAACAAAGATCATCAACTTTAATTAAACGCAAGTCAAAAACAAATCTGTTATCGAAATTTTTATACTGTTTTGCTTTCGATATACATTCATTCTTTGGTAGGAATGTTATTTCAATTGTATGTGTGTCCTTTTGGTTAATAAGAAAAGCTCTATGTGATGCTGATATTTCCCGAGCATCACTGAACGTCTGAAAGCGTATGCTTAATCTAATAATTAAGTTAAATTTCTTAAACGTTCACATAATTTTTTTGGAGAGTGAAAGTTTTTTAATCTTACCATCAAACGTCCGTCACACATTGTTTTTAGGTATGCAGAATTGTTCAGATCGGTTTCCACATCAAGTTCGCGGGTTGTTGATAGCCCCACGAAAGATATAGGAAATTCAACCACTTTAAATCTTCTAAACACATTATCTGGATTATAAAGCTCACAAACGGACATGACAAAAAAAAATCTGAAACAAAAACTTATTATAAACACCAATAATATTAAAGAAACTACAAAATATATAAAGACATTAATAAGTTTATTATAGTATGACAGTACAAAGATATGAAATTTAATCTATCTATCAAGTTTAAAAAAAATATGGGCATTTAAGGAGGCCTTATATAAAATTATGACAAACAGACTTCATCTAGACATTACAAAATAATTTTACATGAAGAGTATGATGGTAACGGTCGTACACTGAGGATATCAATGATTTTTTAAGAAACTCGTTTATTTCGAGTGCTTTATTACACTATCATTTGTTATTTTATATTAAACTATAACAAGGGTACTTTTTACTTTAAATGTTTATCTTATCATACATTGCGTACACTTATGCCGAAGTGAAAATTAATTTTTTAAACCTTTTAAACTATATTTTCACATAAGGATTTTTTTTAAAAGATTTACAGACGATTGTTATAATTTCAGAATTATCATTTCTCACATTGGTACCAGATAAGTAGGAACTAAGTGCTCCGTGAACGGCATAACGCGCTCTAGTAATATTGTAGATGGATGTAAGCATAGGGGGTGTGTCGTACGACTCGGGAAAATTAGTTCGGGGCGGGGGAGCCCCTCACCCCTATTCCGGGGTTTATCAGATTCAGGGGGTAAAAAATTACTTCTCAATGGGAGGGCGCGGCGAGAGCGGGCAGGGGCGGGCGTGGGCGGCGCTGCCACGTGGGCAAGGCTTTCACGCGACGCCTGCTGCATTTCTTTGATGTTACAAATATGAATAGCTCGTGCACGGTTTCCGATCGGTTGTTACGGAATGTGGTGTTGGTTTAAGGGATGTTTGGTTTGTGTTTATCGGACAGAGTGGGTATATGGAACCCGGCTTCAGTGAATTGGATGTGGCGCGCCGAGAGCCCATGGACTCATCGATCGAGGCTATGCATCCATTGGATCCTCCGCCGCCCGATGTTCTGTTAGCGTTGTTGGCAAGAAACAAGGCTTTAGAAGGTATTGACTCCTTATACAACAAGTTAAATGTATTATTTTACTAAATGAGGCATTTTAAACTTTATAAAACTATTTAATTGATTCATGTGATAATAAAGTTGTTTTAGTTATAGTCAGTTTATTTAAATCATTACAAGTACATAGTTATTTGCAACTGTGTATATGAACAAGTTGATGGATGTACCTACACTGTGAAATACAAGTTATTTCAAATTAATCATTGCAGGTTCATTACTGTAAGTAATAAAATGTACTTAAACAAAAATCATTAAAACCATTAATTGTTTATTATATAGATTTATATTGTACCGTTTTTAAACATATTTATTACTATGATTGCATTTAAAAAGTGTTTATAAATACTGTATAAATTGTTATATGATTTTGCTCTATAATATAATTGGAAACACAAAAATGTATTTTGACATCGACTGCTATGAAATTCTAATAACATACTTATTATTTAAAATTGCAACAGTATACTGACGTATTTTCTGTACAATAACAATGTGTAGAAGTAACAATAAAAAACGCTGATGTTACAAAGCAAGCTACAATTACTACCGAGCGTGGCGAGCGTACGACCGCCGGCCACGCGTCATTCCCCATAGCGCTGTTTACACTTTTTACCCGTCCTTCAAATGCACGTAATCAAGTTAAGTGCTCTTACCCACAGTAAGCTCTTTTTGATTTTAACACTGCGTCCTATTATATCGATAACGTCGCACTTAGACAAATTGATCTAATACATTTTACCTGCATATCGATTTTAAGTTTTCATATTTTATAAGAATGCTTTTATTTGAACGAATAGAGTTAAAAAGATAATCAAAATGACAGTCTTAATGATGAAATATGTTATAATGGTTTCAGTGAATATACTATCGTAATAATTTCATACAAAATTAATTCAAGTCTAATATATTATAAGTATATAATTACTGTATTTATATGTATTTTTATAGAACATGTTATCTCAAAGCCGAAGCCACAAAATTCTATACCAATTATTAAGGATTTAGCTTTATAATGCGAGGTCTATGATTATGTTAGGGAGAGCTTCTGTGCCCACGGCCTCGGTTATTATTTTACCGAGCTGGTACTATTCAATACATATTACACCATAATACCCCATCATGATCAAAAACAACATGTAAGTAGAGTAAGCGAGCGTGAGAAAAATCTTTAGCTTTTCAAAATATTGATGATATTGGACAGTTATATATGTTTGGATGTAAAGAAGAATTATTGAAGATTTATAAAACAATTGTTTTTAATAGATATTATGTGTGAATATTATCCGGAAACATTTAGTTTGGGGAAGTGGAGATGTCGCCTATTATGCCATCGCATTAACGCCGGAAGTGTACACGTGCCGACGCGTGCGCGACGAATCATCTCCTTCCGGCTTACCTGTCGTAATATTAAGTTTAATGAATTTTATTTAAATTGATTTTTATATTAAGGTAAACTGATTAAGTTTTTTTTAAGTAAGCTCTCTTTGATTTTTCATAGCGAGAATATTAAAATTAATAAGGATTTTAAACATACATGATTATTGTTATTGAAATCATGATATAATTCGTTTCTTACTTACGGATTACCCAACATTAATAGAAAAAAATATATAGACTGGTTTTAGTAACTGAAATAAAACAAAGTTATATTCTAATCTTTGTTTAATAATAATTACAAATACGAATGTTATATTTTCTCTTCTTCTTTAATTCCTAAACACTTCAACTGATCATCTAGAATGATTGATTATGGTCCTCTAATACACTATGGACTCATTAAAACATGAACCATCAAAGCATTTTCTACTATATCTAATAACAAACAAACATTTGTTCCAAATTTATACTTTACTTACAAGTTAATAGCTGATAAGTAAACCGCTCGTGAAGTAAGGGTTTCTAATAAATTAGAAACTATTAAATGGGGTAACAATAAATCTACTGTTATAGCTTAAACTAAGGTTCGATCATCAGTCGCTCTACGGGGGGTGACATCTGTCGATTTACTTTGACCCCCATTACCTTGCTACCTGTACTACCATTTAATTTAACTTACTTCGTTCCATAAATGTTCAGTAAGAATTGATGTAACTTTAAAGGTTTTCTACGTAAAATTTAAAGAGGAATAATTTTATTGTGAATATTATTTTAGGTTTTAGTCTTGGTATAATTTTTTTTGGAATAATATTTGTATGCATATATCAATTTTTTTTTATAATAAAAAGTTAAAACGTTGCCTATGCTAGGCCAAAATCATAATAATACAAATTTTTCATTTAAAAAATCATCAATTCAAAAAAGAAACAACCATTCAAATTCACACACGTATAAAAATATACGAATATTCGTATCTTTAATTTCCATGTCTAATTTATAGAATCCAAACAATGGCGAAGCCAAAAGTCATATTTAGTAGAGTGATTGCATGTAGAGGGAGAATTCTTTGATTACTAGAATATAAAGGGCTTCAATACAAAGCCAGTGATCAGCTTTATCCCATTGTTAGAGTTTTAATCAATCAGGGAGATTCTGTGTGGTCTGTTGAAATCGTTAGACACAGTTGGTCTTTGATAAACTAACAATTATATGCTAAAAAAGCTATCTTGGAATTATTATGAGGTTTATAATAATATTTATTAATAAATCATGTCAATAAAGGTTATCGGCGTATTGCTTTTTTATTTAAGCTTAAGTTTAATGAAAACTGAGACGTGTACAAATAATTATATTATTTTGTTTATAGAATATTTACTGGTAAATCATTATTTTAATTGGAATCTATTACTTAAACTCCTGGAATTATCACAATATGAAAAACAATTGACATAAAGAAGAGCAATATGTATAATTATCAGCGGCAATAAAACATAAATATTTATAAACACGAAACACAAAAAGGCACTACTGTATATAACTTTGGAATTCACACTTTCACTCATATAAATGTAAACATAAAATGCAATAGACTTAATACTAGTATTAAATTGTAAATGAAAAAAATTATTTTCATTATAATTTGTTATATCTTTCCTTGTTATTTTAAGTTGTATCAATCTATCAATCAAAAGTGATGATTAAAATCTTTGTATATAGGATTAAGGTAAAACTATACGTTATTTTGAACCAGTAAATTTATTAGAAAGGCACCAAAACAATATTTTGAATGTTGTTCTCATAATAAAAGTGCTCAGTATTTTTTTATGTTTTTGTAACAAAATATTGTATTACTGAGTTTCATACTCTGTAAGTCCTCAAAAAAGAAAATTTTATAACAAAATTAATAGATATAAATGGTCTTAAGATTTTCAGGGAAATTCATCTTTACATAAAGATAAATCATACAGAATATCTGGAACAGAGTTATTTTACTAATACTATTCATATTTAAGTTAGTTTAGAGAACATTGTATTAACCCACAGACCATTTACTGGCAGTTATTGTGTTTACATATATCTGTTATATATTATATACACATTATTATTATAACGATAATAGAAACGAGTCGTTATAAAAATAAAATAATTTTCGATTTCATTAATGTGGGTTTCTCTTTTCATTAAAGTAAAAGAGTATATACGAATACGGATACGAATTAAAGGTCCCAAAAAGGTTTTCTATAAAATATAATATTGTAATTAATTGTAAACATCGAAACATTTTCTATGTAATAACAAATAGTAAGTGTTACTTAAAAATTAACTGATAAATAAGACAAAAGTAACACATAACTTTTTTCTCTGGTTAAAGTAATTAAAAGGAAAATAACTAAAAATACTTATATATTGTATATACATGGATAGCATTAACCTCATAGGAAAAAGTTAGGTAATATTCTTAGTCTCGGGGAATTACAAAATATAATGTAATATATTTTCTAATAAGACATAAGAAGTTTTATGTAAATGAATTGATTGATATACGAGTGTATGGATTCTCGATACTTTTTCGTTTTTTAACTTAATATTACATTATATGAATTATCAGAATAACGCAAGTTTCCATATTTCAAAGTATTTTCTTTGATAAAACATGACATTTCTTATATTAGTCGGTGAAATGACGCTAAGTATTTAATAAATACTAGTTTTTGCCCGCGACTTCGTCCGCGTTAGTTTGGTCAAGAGTAATATATGTAGGTATAGCTGACCAGGCCAACTCTATGCCGTCTAAGAGGCCATAAATAATCAGGTTTTTCCTGTTTCAATTAAACAGAATGATTGACATATTAGTTAGTTGTCAAATCTAATGTCAAAAAAAACCGTTTATATCGGAAATAGAAAAGAGCTGTTTTTAGGGTTTTTCCGGCAATTATTCCAATTTTTCTCACCTTTTATACCTTCCCTGGACTTCCAGGAGTATTTCAAGACTAAAATTAGCCAAATCGGTTCAGGCGTTCTCGAGTTTTAGCGAGACTAAGGAACAGCAATCCATTTTTATATATATAATAGAAGATTATGTCATTTTAGGTATGAAGGATGTAATTAAATATATATAAAATCTGTGGCAATATAATTCTACTTGACATGCAAAACATGTCTAATACAAAAAATAAAAATTGTTATATGTAATAATTCCATTAAATTTTCCTCATTACACTTTAACTAAATATTTCATTATTTCATGTTATTTATATAAGGAATTTTAAAATAGTAAAAAGGTTTTTTAAAATAATAACTATAAATAGGTAAGTCATAAAATACGCATATTATAAATTTCAATCAAAATTATATGTAGTCATCGTGTTCTAGTTTTTATTAAGATGTAGATAAAGTATAGGTACCTATTATCGAAAATTACGAATTCTTTTCTTCAGTTCACAAAGTATTTCTATAATAGTACAATAAATATTTATAATTTAAAATTTTACTAAATTGTAGTTATTCGTCTGTGTTTATCAATGTTGATTTTAAAACGGTTAGTCAAATATGTCTGTCGTAAACTTTTAGACATTATGAAATAGAAAAAACAGCTAACTGCTGAAT